AAGAGAATAAACTTTCAATAGTTTAGTAAGGCGGTCAAAATTCTCAGAGTCAAGCAGGATGAGGGCTGAAAATGTCCACTGAATTTATTGACATGGAAGTACTGATGACTTCAGAAAAATGCATCTTAGTGGCATGACAGAGCTAGGAATAACAGAAAATAGTAAAAAAGTTTGTAAGTTTGAAGGGAATGGCAAAGTTCTGAACTTGTAATTTTAGAGAATTAAAGAGTGAGAGTTGGCTGGAGGAACATCGTAGGGCTGCTGGATAGCTTCGAGGGCTCATTTGAGATTTGAGTTTGTACATTTATAGTTAAAATCTGCCCTATTGTGAGACTTTGCACAACAGTTCTCAGCCGATAATTGGGTTCATCCAAGGTTGACATGCATTGAAAAGATAGAAGAACAAGAGAGTTTGATCTATTGAAAAGGGTGTTAAAATGATGTACCATAAAATCTAAGTTAGATAATAGAGGAAGAGAAGAACGAAAAGCTACTGGTTTGGAAAATTATATATTAGTGTAGGAGTACATGGGTCCAGATAAGATCAAAGAATCATTGAAGTGGAAGCAGTTGAACAAGCAACACAGAAGGAGAGGAGGCTGTAGGCAGAGGGTGGGATATTTCAATTAATGACTTTGGAGGTGGCACAGTGAAGTTGATCAGTTACTGGATCCAAGGGAGATGTGGCTGACAAGGGTGGAAGTCACTAAAGATAAAAGGCCCCAGGTTTGACTCCCTCAAATCTCTTTCATTTGCAATGGATAGAAAACCCAGATCAAACTTGAAAAGGGAATGCAGAAACTTCTGTTATTAAAAAGTAGAGGGGTAGTTTAGCTTCAGGCACAGCTCTTAGGATGTCGTCAGGATCTGGATTCTCTCCACCTATCAGCTCCGCTCTTCTCTCTATGGGCTCCCATCTCAAGTACGCTCCTCTGCAGTGGTAGCAAAACAGCTGCCAGCAACTCCAGGCTTTCATCACCACCAGTCCAAGGTGAGCAGACAAGAATGAGCCTAACAAAGCCTAAGTCCTGCCTCTCGTTCTGACTGGTCCAAATTTGGGTCACATTCCCATCTCTGAACCAATCACTGTGATCATAGGCATTCATTGCTGGGATTGGCCAGACCTGAGTCTCATATCCACTAAAGAAAAATGGGGTGCTGTTACCAGCAGAGTGCAAGTATGCTGGCCAGCAAAAACAACAGATGTTTTTCTTTTTCTACAGTGTCGAGCAGGTTGTTCATGAGGTTATTCAAGTTGGTAGCAGAGGTTGGGGTGGAGAGGAATCCCACAAAGCCAGTCTTTGATGCAAGAGGAGGCATGGCCGGGCGTCAGTGACTTCATGTGTGAAACAGAACTTGGAGTGTTAGCACGGTGCCTTCTGATAACTCTTCAGACTGGAAGATCTTTGAGAGAAAAGGAGTTTGTATCCCTGGTACCTACTAATGGGTCTGATACTCAAAATATTCCTGTAAATGGATAGATGGATGGATAAAAGGATAGTAGAGGATAAGTGATGGATGAATGAACAAAAGAACCACTGTATTTGAATATATAATAGGAATAGGCTCATAGTACTTGATGGAAAGTATTCAACAAACAACTGCTTTTTAAAAATGTACTTCTTCTGTTCAATTACATCAAAAATGGAGCATTGTGAAAACAGCATACACTCGGAAGTCACACAAACCTAGATCTTAATCTTGCTCTGTGTGAACCTTGTGCAAATTATTTAGTTACCTTAAATCTTAGTTTCCTCATCTCTAAAATGGGGCAATGTTAGGGTGCCACCTCAAGCGGGGAAGGCCAATGAAAAAATATCCCATGAGTATCCGTAAGTAACATTCATTATTTTGGTAAATTTATTATAAATAGGGCCTAGATCTTGGTCTGATAGAATTTTAAAAACTTAATTTCATCAGCACATGGAGAGGGAAACCATTTCCCAGACAGAAGCTCCCATTAACCAAACCAGACAGATAGATAAATTGGAATAGCCACTTATTAATTTACCATGAGAAATTATTTGAAGCATCCAAGTAACTATCATATTTTCTCCCTGTGTGCACCTATATTTGGGAAGTAAAATCATAACTAGAAGATTGTTGTGATCAGGCAAAGGGACGTGGGCCAGGCATTGGGACACCCTCAGAGGAAGTAGTCACAGACGAGGCTTGTCTCTGTCTCCTAGGATGAGTTTGTACATCTTTGCTGTGTTCTGGTGTATATTTATGCTTCAGGAGGCATCTTATTTTCCTTGCTTGCAAGGTCTTGGGGAGAGGCTTGCCCCAACCCCTAAAATACAATGTTAGCCATTAAAGCAACCCAACGCCTTCTTCCTTCTTCATCAGGGCAGCCTGCGCGTCAGCGGCGGGGGTCTCTCTGGCCTTCATGATCGGGGTCAGGTGGCTTACCTGCCAGGCCCACAGCCTGTGAAAGCCCCAGGCCATCTAAGCTTTCAGGAAATCCTTGTGCTCTTGTGGTCTTCTTTCCCCTGGGTCCTGGCGGTCTCTGCCCGCCCAGTCATGAATCTCAGGTGCTTCACATCCGCCAAAATGAAAACCACAAAATCCCAGTCTCACAAACCACTCATCAGCAGGCTCTTCTAAAGAACGGAGGAGGCAGGAAGAGGTCTCAGGAAGGATTCACAGACACGCACGGTCCTGCAAGCTGTTTAAAACCCGGATGAGACATTCCTCTTCTAAGGTCCCTCCGGCCACCCTGACACCAGGGGTTCCTGTCCTGACCCTTCCCACCAAGAGTCCTCCTTCCCACGTCTCTCTCCCTCCCTTCTCCCTGCTCTGCTCTCTCCCCCACCCCTCCCTCTCCAGCACCTCAGACAACTTCCTGTCTTTAACTCAGAAACAGAGGTGCCACCCGCTCTCTGTAGCCTCCTCTACAGCTGAAATCAGGCCAGGGGATTTCACCTTCTAAGTGGTCAAAGGTATTTTCCAAATATAGACTGTTCCTGTCTAAATTGAATTTTGGGGCCATACATTAGGAAAATAAAAATATTCCCTCCTTGATTGTAAAGTGCTGGGATGTACGTCAATAAACAAACTTCCATCCACTCCTCGTTTCTCTCTGTTTATGCAATACATTTTAATAAATAATAACTTCCAAATGACTAAGATGTTCCTGCTCCTCTCCACATTCCTGTGTGGCTTGAGAGGACACCCTCAAGTAAAATTTCTCATTGCTATAGGCTTTTATAGGCCGGTGCCAAATTCTGGCTCTCCAGCTTACTATCTATGCGATCTCGCGCAAATTACTTAACCTCGCTGGCCTCAGTTTCTGCGCCCATGAAATGAGAGGACAGACTAGCTTAAAGACGTCTTAGGAGGATTAAATTAATTTATTCCTGTAATGTGCTTAGTACATAGTAAAGACTCGGTACCTGTTAGCTGCTTCTTTTAAAATTCTCTTTAGTTTCTTTCTCCTCAAATATGTGACTTCATCAATGTAAAGGATGAGAGAGTTTAACTTTTGCACGTTAATGAATTAGCCAGCCTTGCCCTAGAGACTAAAACAGCAGGGTCAGTGTTCAACTTGGCTCACGGGCTATACCCTGCCAGTGTCCTAAGCCACACAGGATGGTCGGCCACTAACTCAGCTGGGGCCTGCATTCAGAGACGAAGGGTAATGGGGACATGATGAAAATACAGTCCAAACCAGAGTAGCCTAATCAGGGAGAACCACCAGCTGCCCTGGGTCCAGTGCACTTCTGGATCGAGGATTCAGTTCCCAAGCCCAGAGGGTCCCAGGGCTGGCTAGTATTATGATGACCGGCTCCTGCTAGACCTGTCCTTATGTCTCAAGTGAATCTCTAAGAGACCTCTCAAATTTCCCTGGTTTCACAAGGAGATGGGAACATCTGAGACGGATACCAGGGACCCTCGGATAAAGCCTGCCCTGGCGTGTCTGCAGCCCCACAAATAGCCAGACTCTTCGATTAAAGGGCCACAGAGGGCTCTCTGCTCTTCTCATGGCCACATCTGGTTGCTGAGTCCCACCTTCCCCATCCCCATGCCCAGAGCCTCAGCCCCTCCCAGGAACAGGCTGACTGGACGGTTTTGCTGCAGCCTCTGGTAAAACAGGGTCAGCGATGGAATAGGAGAGCCAGGCATGGGGTGGATGAAACCAGTTCCTCCCAAGGTGGGCCTAGGCGAGGCGGAGCAAGAGGGAAGGGAGGACGCTTTGAGGGGACTGCCAGGCCAGCTCCACGGGGCACATCTTGAAGCAGGGAACTAAGCGGGTCTTTCTCTTTGCAGAAGTCAGAATTGCGTGCGCCTGGACACAGGGGGCTGAGCAGGGGCAGGGAGGGGTAGAGAAGATTATAGCTCATCTAAAAACTGCCCAAAGGACACATTTCTACCGAAGATTGTTTAGAGTTTGGTCCCTACACCCAGAGCACGTTATCTCTTCGGCTTTATAAACTCTCCCTGCAGACTTGAGTTTCCCTTGTGTGACTTTGGGTCCCTGCCCATCCCTGCTGCCCTGGGCGAGTTGGGGGCCGAGGGACAGAAGCTGTGTACTTTGACTCTCCATCCCCGGGCACGACCGTTTTTGTCCCTGCACCGCCCATCACCCTGGTCTTCTTTGCAGAAGTGTGTACTTAAAGAAGGAAGCAAGGACGCCTGGGGTTTCTCAGCCCGCGCAACGACGAGCCCCGGGGAGAGATGCGCAGCGACCTGCGGGATGTCCGGGCGCGCCTGGCTGTGAGAATATCGACGCCTGGTCAGGCGGCCGCGCTCCCTGGAGCAGCGTGACGCGGCGGCCACGGGTGGGGACGCCGGGGGCCAAGCCTCCCTGGGCGCTCCCCTGCGCCCTGGGCGGCCGCCAGCCCCGCTCGCCCGGCCGGGGGAGGCGGAGGCGAGGGCGGAGCACGGCCTTTTTTGGCTCCGAGGAGTGGCCTCGGCCAAGAAGGTCACTTGGCTGCTGGGCTGGCAGCCGTCACACGAGCCCCGCGCCCGGCTCGGCTCTCCTGCGCTCCCCAGGACGCACGGCTCGCGCGCTGGGAGCAGCGGCCGGCTATCGAGCAAGCCCCTCCGTCCCGCATCAGAGAGACCACATGGGCCCCGAGGCCACCTGCAGCGGCCACCTGGCTCGCCTCCAGGTGAGGACCTGGGTTGAGCCCGTGGTGGCGTCCACTCAGGTGGCCAGCTCCCTCTACGATGCAGGGCTACTCCTCGTGCTGAAGGACTCCTTTGCGGCCACCTCCAACCACAGCGCCACCCCATCGCCCGGGGATGCTCAAGAGGACCAGCAGCAGAAGGCCATCTCCAATTTCTACATCATCTACAACCTCGTGATGGGCCTGACGCCCCTGCTGCCTGCCTTCGGGCTGGGCTGGCTCAGCGACCGCTACCACCGCAAGATCTCTCTCTGTGTGGCCCTGCTGGGCCTCCTGCTCTGCCGGCTGGGGCTGCTCTTCAAGGTGCTGTGGGACTGGCCCGTGGAGGTGCTGTACTGGGCCGTGGGGCTGAACGGGCTCTGCGGCGGCCACTCAGCATACTGGTCGGGGATTGTATCCCTGGGCTCGCTTGGCTCCTCCGTGGACCGCCGCTCAGTACGCCTCATCTTCATCGACCTGATCCTGGGCTTCGCGGGATTCACGGGGAGCATGGTCTCTGGGCATCTCTTCCGGCAGATGTTTGGGCAGCCCTCGAAGGGCCTGTTGCTGACGGCCTGCAGCGTGAGCTGTGCCTCTTTTGCCTTTTTCTACAGCCTCTTGGTTCTGAAAGTCCCCCAGTTGGAGGCCAAGCCCAGAAAAGCACTCTCTCCCGTGGATACGGTGTCCGGCACTGTGGGCACATATCGCACCCTGGACCCTGATGAGCCAGACAGGCAGAGTGTAGTGGGGCACCCTCTATCTCCTAGGAAAGCAACGCCCCAAAAATCCATTATTGCCCTGCTCTTTCTGGGCGCCATCCTCTATGACATCGCAGTGGTGGGCACAGTGGACGTGATGCCCCTTTTTGTGCTAAGGGCGCCTCTCAGTTGGGGCCAAGTAGAGGTGGGCTACAGTATGGCTGCAGGGTACATGATCTTCATCACCAGCTTCCTGGGTGTCTTGATCTTCTCCCGTTGCTTCCGGGACACCACCATGATCACGATCGGGATGATCTCCTTTGGATTGGGAGCTCTCTTGTTGACTTTTGTGAAAAACACGTACATGTTCTACATCGGTGAGTCTGACCTTCTTGGGGAGGCAGGACAGAGACGCTGCAGGCCCTCGGAGTCGTGGGGCAGACACCAGGACTGCTGTGTCCCAGCGCAGTGCCAGGGACTAGACCTGCTACCTAGGAGCTTCCAGGGAGACAGGATCATGCGCACTTGACTTGATCTGCATTGCGCTGTGCATTGTGCTAACTGTATTGCCCATTGAAATGTCACCAGAGTGGTGTCTGTAGCCCTCGGAGGTCATGGGGGGGAGGGTCAGTCCCAGGGTCAGAAGAAGAGGCTTTAGGATGGCCTTGGATGAAGGGGACCAGGTTGGGTTCTTCTCCCCAATGTAAAGGGGTAAAATAGTAAATAATTCAACTGATTAAAATCATTTCAGGCCAAGCAAGGGCTTTCTAAAAGTGGGTTTAAAGAACTCTCCATAAATGCTTTTTATAAGCAATGTCATAAATTCCCTCAAGGAAGCAGAATCAAGTTTCCATGTAAGGACTCAGTTCAGACAGCCACAGGAGAGAGCTTTAGACCAATGCTCCGGTGGGACTTTCTACAACAATCAAAATGATCTGTATCTGTTTTGTCCAGTAGAGTAGCCACAAGCCCCATGCGGCTACTGAGCACTTGAAATGTGGCTAGTGCGAATGAAGAACAGGACTTAAAATTTTATTTCATTTAATTAATTTAAATAGCCACACATGGCTAGTGGCTAACAGAAAGAACAACTTAAGACAGTTACCAGGGAGGGCATGCGTCTTGCAGAGCAAGCCACATAGCAGCTATGGGGAGAGGGAATTCTAAGCGAGGCTTTCGCTTTATTCTGCTTCACATCTTGGCCATGGTGGAGCTACAGTGAGGCGTGTTCCCGTGTGATTTCTTTCCAGCTCGAGCCGTCATGCTCTTCGCTCTCATCCCCATCACAACCATTCGATCAGCGATGTCCAAGCTCATAAAGGACTCCTCGTATGGTGAGTGAAATGCACCTCTCTGAGATCCTCTGCCAGGGCTGTTACGGAGCTGCTTGACTTGAGGCGCAGGGTTTGGATGTGCAGAGGCACACAGAGAAGAGTTCCAGAAGCAATCAGAAATACTCTAGGGACACACTGTTGTCCATCCAGGGCAGACGGAGTGACAGTGGGAGGGTGGGGCAGACTCAGGGAGTCAGTCGCTGAAAAGCCACAGTCAAAGGAAGACACTACCATCTACAGGCCACAGGTGGATCCGCTGGATGGAGGCAGGAGTCCTGGTGAAATGAGACCCCGAGGGAGTCCTGGGAAGGGGGCGGGGTCTCCTGAGAGCTCCCCAGAGGCTCAGCTAGCTGGGAACAGGCAGGGAGAGCAGCGTATCTTCTTGGTAACCTCTGTTCCTTCCACAGGTAAGGTATTTGTCATTCTGCAGCTGTCCCTGACTCTCACCTCGGTGGTGACATCCACAGTGTATAACGAGCTCTATCAGCTCACCATGGAAAAGTTTGTCGGCACCTGCTTTGCCCTCTCCTGCTTTCTCTCCTTCCTGGCCATCGTCCCGATTGGGTAAGAGAAGAGCAGCATCTGCTGTCTGGGCCAGGGCTCTGGGGCTTAGGTCACGGGCTGTTGGACCACCTCCAGCCCATTGTCATAAAGCATTGTTTACTTTCAGTGGGTTCTCAGTAGGTTCTCTCACAAAGAAAAAGTCCTGCTTTTCCCCCAAATTATTTGGGAGTTCCCCACAGTCATAAGTGATGAACAGACAGTCCCAACCCTCTGGCTCACTTCCTGGTGGTTTTGTCATACAATTTATTTATAGGAACCTCATATACTTCCTTATACTCTGAGGCTGGGTGTAGAAACCTCTGGAACCTCTCAGGCCTCTTTAGTGTAGCTCCTTTAGGAAGTGAGGAGACATCCCTCCTCACCTCTGAGTGCCCATTCTTCCCTGTGCCCTCTGAGGGCTTGGCACCTGGGTACTCAGTACCCCTGACATCTCACGGCCACTGGACTGTGTGAGGTCCCGTGAGACGGGCAATTCCCTTGGTGTCTTTTGGGGGCATTGTCTTATTTGTAAAACAAGAGCACTCGAGTCTGAGAGAGAACAGGCAGGAGAAAAGCTGAAAAGCAGCGGAGAGGCCTTCCGGGGCACGGCCAGAGCACCACCTAAGCCGTCGCCCAGCTGGGCTACAGGAAGGGGCCGGCCTTCGACCTGCCCCGAGCAGCGAAGGTGCGGTGCACGTCACCAGGGCAGGCCAGTCTGTGATTTTAAACCTTCTAGCAGTCACGTTTTAAAATGATAGAAGTAACAGGTGAAGTTACCTTTAATAACGTATTTGATTTAACCCACTATAGCCAAACTATCATTTTCACATGTAATCAATTTACAAAATCAATGAGGTCTCCTTTCTTTTTTCTTTTACTGAGTCTTTGAAATCTAGTACGGATTTTATGCTGATGGCATGTCCCAGTTTGGACTAGTCACATTTCCATTGTTTGGTAGCCAGTGTGACTAGTGGCTACATATTATGCAGCACGGCTTGGACCGTTCAGGCCCTTTCCTCCTCCTCCTAAAGTAAAGTTCTCAGGCTTGTATCAGTCCCACCAGAGGGGAAAGAAATGCAGTAAATACACCCACAATCAGGCGCCAGGGATTTGATGTAGAGTTGCATTTTAAAGGGACCTGCCTAGGAGCACACGCGAACTGTACGCATCAGGGAGGGTGGCATTGTGGGCAGCGGAGTAGAAAGCAGCTAAAGGCAGGCGGGAGAAGTAGGAAGCGGGTGATGGTAAGGCCCTTCTTGGAATTCTCACATCACATTGCAATACACGTCCCTGCCTGCACAGAAAGTTGGGCCTTCTGGGACAGGAGCTATCCATCATTAAGGCTTTTTATTAACTTTTTTTTTTTTTGAATTCTCACCCAAAGACATTCTCACTGATTTCAGAGAGAGGGGAAGGGAGGGAGAAAGAGAGAAGGAGAAATGCCGATGTGAGAGGGAAACATCAATTAGGTAGCCTCCTATATGCCCCCTGACTAGGGCCCAAACCCGCAACCTAGGTGTGTGCCCTGACTGGGAATCAAGCCCACAACCTTTTGGTTTATGGGATGAAGCTTTAACAACAGAGCCACACCAGCCAAGATGAGGCTTTTTACTTTATTTCATAGTTAAGAATAATAAGATATGAAGATCAAACCGCTGAGAAAATCTGTGCACGCAGCAGGCACTGGCGCCCTGTTGGCCCGGTTCTCACTTGCTCGCCTTCAGGCCTGAGCCAGACCTGTCCTCCAACTGCCCAGCCCTTAGCTCTTTCCAGGTGCCCCTCTTCATGGGAGCCTTGGCTGAACGGTTCAGGCTTAGCCGGGCCAAGCGTGCAGTGCGAACTTCTCAGGAGCCCCAGCTCTTTGTCCAAGTCAGTGATGAATTGGTCGCTGTGCCACTTGGCAGTTATCTAGTCCTATTTGATTGGCAGTTGGTTGAAATATTTCTTTTAACCTAAACAAATAAATAAAAACCATGAAACAACAAAAGAAAACAAGTCTGACTAGTCAGTGGGTGTCATAGCTCATGATAGGAAGAGTCCAACGAAAACAGTAAGAAAACACAATAATGGGTTCCTTTCTGGTTTCGTTGCTTCATGTGTGTGCTCAGTCAGATGCTTTGCCTTCGCTAAGAGACTTTTAGGGCCCGTGAAGCAGGTGTGTTGCCCTTGACATCTCACCCCAATGCACTCGTAACATGCACTTGGACACAGTCATACATTCTGTGCACGGAATCTTGGTTAGGCCTCGCGTGGTCTTTACAATCTTGTATCACAGGAGCAGGGACAGAGTCTTGAATCAATCAAGTACGTGGCTGAGTGCGTATGTGAAGGGGGTGCTTCCGGCGCTGCTAATTGTTTCCCTCCTTTGTAGACATTTAGCAGTAGAGGGAGCCCTGTGTGAGCAAAGCCTCCTTGGCTCGCCGTACAGTGGAATCGCCTTGAGAAATATGAAAATTACTCATGTCTGGGTCCCACCCCCAGATAGTCTGACTCAGCTGATCCGGGGTGCAGCCTGGGCACAGGAACTTTTGAAAGCTCTCTGGGTTATTCAAATGTGCAAGCAAGATTGAGGACTTCTGGTATAAAGGGAGTATTTTCATTATCTTTCCCTTCCCCAAAGGGAAAAATGCTTACAGCAGGAAGTGGCCAAGGCTGTACCATTAATCATTAAGTGAGATCAACAGGCAAGACCAGTAGAACTCTAACAACAGAAGGAAAGCTACATTCCAAGGACGTAAGAACCCGGGGAGGCACATCAGAGCAGGGAGCAGAGGAGCCCGCGGAGGGCAGAGGGTTTGGGAGGAGAGGTCCCGGGCTGCAGCTGCCAACAGCCTATTTGCAAGAGGGGACTCTGGCCCTGGCTGTTCCTGGTACCAAGGTGAACCAATTTCATGTTACCTGCCCTCTGCTGCCTGCTCTTCTTTATATGCAATAGGGAGGTTCTGAGGAAGTAAATGTCTGACCCTGCCCACCTGCAGCCCACTCCCCACCCAACACGTGTGCTAGGCAACTGCCTCATGCTTGATGGAGAAAATAGAAGCCAGCAGAGGAGAATGGCCCTGTCTTCCCCAAAGGAAATCTACAGGCCTGTGTCCATTGGCACCCATCCCATTCTTCTCCTCCCTGCCCTTTTTTTATGACAATAATTGCAAACACTTAAGTATCCTTAATATGTGACAGACACAGCTTTAAACATTTGATATATTTGAATTAATTTAGTTTTCCCAAACACTCCTCTTATGTAATTACTATTATTATCCCCATTTTGAAATGAGGAAACAGAATCTAGCATGTGTGTCCAAACTTTTGGCATCTCTGGGCCACCCTGGAAGAAGAGTTGTCTTGGGCCACACATTAAATACACTGTGACACATGATCACAAAAAAAAATCTCATGGTGTTTTAAGTAAATTTACAATTTTGTGTTGGGCCACATTCAGAGCCACCCTGAGCTGCATGCGGCATGTGGGCCACAGGCTGGACACCCTTGATTCTAAAGTACTATGTAACTTGCCAAAGGTTACGTAGCTGGTAAGTGCAGAGACAGGATTTGAACCCAGGCAGTCTCCTTTATCCAGTAAGTGACACTGCTTCTTAGAAAAGTCACCAAGTGCCCTGGCTGGTGTGGCTCCATGGACTGAGCATTGGCCTGCAGACTGAAAGGTCACCAGTTCAATTCCCAGTCAGGGCATATGCCTGGGTTGCAGGCCAGGTCTCCTGTTGGGGTGCATCTCTTGCACATCGATGTTTCTCCTCCTTTCTCCTTCCTTTCCCCTCTCTCTAAAAATAAACAAATTTTAAAAAAGAAAAAGAAAAGTCTCCAGGTGTCTGGGTGCCACCTCTCCCACCTCTTCAGAGAGCTCAGTGCACTGGTGAGCTGCTCTCTCTCTCTCCTGAATTCTTCCCACTGGGACTGATGCATGATCCAGCACCCTCCCTCCTGTCTCCTCCTCTCTATAGCCTAGTTCCCCCAAGGCCGGTCTGCACTAGCTGTCTCATGTCCTCTCCTCCCACTTACTTTGTACCCCTCTACAGACTGATGTCCCCAGCTCAACTCCCCGGAGCTGCTCTCAGATAAGACTTCTTCAAAGCTGAATCCAGCGGGCTCTCTGCACTCCTTACCGCACATGATTTCTCAGTGGCTTCCAACACTGTTGATCCCTCTTTCTTTGGATGGCACTTGTCACTGTCACTTGCCTTTCTCAACACTTCTGTCCTCGTTGTTCTCCAACCTCTATGATCACTTCTCCACAAAACTCCAAATGGAAGAATTCTTTGGGGTCTGCTCTGGGTTGTCCTCTCACTTTATAGTCTCTAAGTCAGGGGTCCCTAACATCTGGGCTATGGACTAGTACCAGTTCGGGCCTGTTAGGAACTGGGCCACACAGCAGGAGGTGGGCTTGAATGTAATGTGCTTGAATCATCCCGAAACCATCCCGGCCTCCCCATCTGTGGAGAAACTGTCTTCCACGAAATTGGTCCCTGGTGCCAAAAAGGTTGGGAACCTCTTCCACTGCCGAGTCACCTAAAGTACTCTCAAACTTCACATTATCATTTAAATTTCCAAAATTCGGTTTGACACTCTCCCAAGTCTGTTCTCTCTCCAGTCTTTCCTGTCTCATTAAATGGCACCACCGCTCAGAGTCACCAGCGCCCTCCCCCTCCTTCCTCCCCTCCCAGTCCATCAGACCCCATTGAGTCTACCTCCAAAATAGGCCTCAAATTCATCCTTTTCGTTCTATCTTTTTGCTGCCCCCCCAGCCCACAGCACTCGGAAGGCCAAATTAGCCCGAGTCATTCTCCCCACACGCACCCACCGCCGTCCGCCAGGGGGCCAGGGCGATTTCCCAGAAGGGTGAGTGGGATCACGTCATCTCTTGCTCAAGACACTGCGCTTGGCTTTCAGTGCTCTTAGGGTAAAACCCAAACATTACGCCATGGGCCGCAGGGTCTTGCAGCATCTGGCCTGGCCAACCTCTCTGGCCTCCCATTCCTCCCATTCACCACCCTCCCACCTCAACGCTGCAGCCCCAGCCACCTCCCCTCCTGCTGGGCTCCCTTTCCCACGTACGTACCAACCAGCTGTGGTCTGAAGCACCATCTCCTCGGGGATTTGAGAAAATCCCCTTCTCGATCTGACATAGAGCCTTCTATTTTCTCCTCCCCAAGCTTCCTGTCCTTTTTCTTCAAGCATGACCGTTGACGAATTTTTAGTGATTATCTGTTTCATGCGCTTGCCCACAGACCGCAGGCTTTCTGTAGGGACCAGGGCTGGCCCACCATGTATCCTCTGTGTCCAGCAGCGAGCCTGGCATAAAAGAAGTACTCAGGTACCTTTGTGTGATGACTGATCTGTCAAAGGGTGCGCCACCTACTACCAGCACCGCTGACCATCACGCCCCAGTGCGGCCTGCTGGCTGGCCTTGAAGTGGGGGGCCGGCCCTCGCCTTGTGGCTGTGCCGCTGGGGTTCACACCGTCAGGGCCGCAGCCCGGAGCCCACGTGGCCCTGGGCCGGCCGCCTCCGCATCTCGGCTCTCCCCCTGCCAGTTTTATAATACGACAAGTTTTAAGTACAGTGAGCGTCCCTCCCTGTGGAGCCCTGGGGCTCATGGAAGGTGGGGAATCACAGTGACTGGAAGTTTCCACAAAGCTGTCCTTCACAGGTTTGGATTTAAGCTCATGGCCCATCCAGCAGCTCCCAGCGTGCTGTGTCATTCAGGGAGAACTTAGAACCTGAGGTACCTAGAGCTCAAACAGACGAGAAAACCAAGGACCCCCGAGTCACACAGATCCAAGATGTCCACTTAGAGCTACACATTCCCACACATTCATTTATCTACAAATATTTGAAATTGTTGTAATGATTATGGAACAGGTAAAAGGACTATAGGAAGGCAGACAATGAAGCAGCTAATTCTACCTGGGATTAGTGACCTACTTGGGATCTTGAGATACAAGTGGGAGTTTATCCTCGGGCAGAAGGGAGAGGGAGAGAGATTCCAGAAAAATGAAGACGCAAAGTTGCAGATGTTACGTGACCGGCACGAGCCTGGAATGAAAGATGTCCCCTTGGGCCATCTCTCTCCACTTGGCCCGGCATTCCGACGCTACAATGGATAGGGTCACTCAGTCTATCGGTGATAAAGAGGCAGCTAGAGCCCTCCCCACCAACGGTGTGGAGGAAAAAGCACAGCTCCCCCGCAATCCAGCTGTTCTCTTGTAATTTTCTCTTGTCAATTCTTCCAGCATCGTGGCCTGCAAACAAGCCTCATGGGCGAAACATGCAGACGTCACAGAGAAATGAAGGTGCCGACCTGAAGGAGCTGAAAACACCAGCAATGGCCAAACCCCTCTGAAGAGGAAGGAACCAGGGACTGGTGACCAAAGCAACCTACTGCTGAGAAACCCAAGTCCCAGCCAGAGCCAGTCTCCAGGCGACCTGCTCTGGCTCAGGGGCCCCTGGTGGGTGGGAAAAGCACTTTCCTGGTGATGGAAGAACTTTCTCAGCTTTCCAATGCCCCTGATAGGCAGGGGTTAGGTTCTGCGGGCAGTACCGTGTGAACCTTCACAGTTATATGTAAGCTGCACGCACAGCCATACCACACGCTCCAAGGAGCTTCAGACAGCAGCCTTTTTTTTCTTCCAGAAATTGTCTTCCTGGCTCCAGGGTACGGCTAACTAGTCACCTACCTGGGTGTGGTGCTAGGAGTCCCGTGTGAAAACTCAAACCAAGGCACGCGTTTCCAACAGCCAGAGGGGCACGTGGAAAGAATCTCTCATAAGAACTGCCGACAGTGAACATCAGTCAATATTTTTGAAATTAAAAGAAAACTTTGGATAGAAGTTAGCTCTCTTCCTGAGGGCTTGTTAGCTGTGAACACTCGGGAGAGATTCGGAGCTCAGGCTCTCGGCTTGGGGGTAGTTTTGCTGTCATTGTCACTGTTTTTTTTTTGAGAAGAAAATATCAAGACTTTTTATTTAATGGAATATTAAATTGAATACTTTCAGTCAACAATATCTCGCAAAGTGAGTAGTATGAAGGGAGAGGGGAGAGGAAATACATAAAGAGCTGTTTTATTCTGAGGTAATTTTATTGCCTGTTTTACTTACATATATAAAAGCATACTCACCTCCTTGTAAATTCAACATTCATAGTGTGTGTGTGACTCATTCTTTCCCAGATGGCATGCCCTCTGTAGCTACAGACATGGCTTTCTTAAATCTCAGAGCATTGGGGCTCAGAGGCTTTGGTACCTCTGATTCCTTGCAGGGAAGGAACTACCCTTCTTGGCACATCTACTAAGGTCCCGGCACCATGCTAGGTGCTGAGATAGAGCAAGAACATGACCGCTGTTGCCTTCACAGTGTGTTGTCTAGTGGGGGGGAGCAAACAGAAGAGCGGGCAATGAAGTATCCTATAATCAGTGCCAACGGGAGGGAGCATAATAGTCCAGATGTAGGATTCTCAGAAGTGGCATAGGATAAGATTGGAAGGATAAGGAATTACAAAGGCCAGAAGCTGGGAGACATTCCAGGTAGATGGGAGAACATTCTGGAAGGCCAGGAGGTGAAAATGTCACAAGATAAAGAAATACAATGTGAATGGAGCAAAGAGGGAGGGAAGGAGAGGTAACAAAGAGGATGCAATCGAGAGATGATGCTGGAGTGGTGAAGAGGAACAACATAAAATCTAGCCTTTAATAAAGGTTTCTCCCTAGAGGAATGGGGCTAGCTGTTGGAAGGTTTTAAGCGGGAACACAGAATGCTTACCTTTGTATCTTAGAAAGTGCACTCTGGCAGCACCGAGGAGGAACTGGAGGAGGAAGGAGTGAGCAAGAGTTGCAGGAGGGAGACAAGCAGAGAGACTGCTTTGTAGGCCAGGCGGAGGGTGATGGGGCCCGGCCTTGGGTAGCAGGCTACAAGGATGGAGGACAGTAGGCAGACTTGAAGGGATACTTGGAGGCTAGAGTCCAACAGGAGGAGGTGGTGAGTGGGCTGCAGAAGGTGAGGTTGAGGGAGACAAGAATGACAGAAGATAGAGCCCCCCACTAAAACAAGCCACATAAACCCAGAAGGATGGGGAAGATGAGTTCAAGGCCATGCTCCCATTTAAACTCTCACCAATATGCTCATTCCCTGCCTCCCACCCAACCCCTGAAAACTTCCCCAACCCGAATGAATGAATCGCTGGCTGCTTCATTCCTGCTCCTAAAAAGCTTCCTCTGAACATCTAAAAAATTTCTCTTAGTTGCCCACATTGACTCTGCCATTCACTGTGGGTTTTAACCCGACTTGGGCTCCCCAAGCCCCAGCAGTGGCTCCTGTTCAACCCCACCTGTCAGCAAGGCAGCAGCTTCAAACCTTTTCTCCTCTCCCCAGGCCACCGTTTCCTCTCACAGATGTTCTCACCCAGGGCCTCGCAAAGCGCGGGCCCTGGGCCAGCAGCAGCAGCAATCCCTGGGAACCTGTTGGAAATGCAGATTCCTGGGCCCTCAGGAACCCTGCTCTGTGGGTGGGACCCAACAACGGGTGTTTTCATAGGCCCTCACGCTTCAGAACCACTGTTCTACTCTGTGGTCTGGACTTTTTCTCCTTAAAATCTGTCCCCGAGTCCCCCTCCTCCTCTCCCTGCATCCTGAATTCTTAAGGCCCCAAGAGCATGTCCTTGGTTGTATTCCCCAGTGACCAGGTTTACTCCTGTGGCTTCCAGAACTCCCTTCCCAGCAATTGGGTCAACACCCCCACCTTGACCTCTTCAAGTAGAAACCCAACCCAAGGTCTCCCCGGGGCCCCTCCTCTAAATTCACTCCATCTCTTCTGTTTCCCCGCCCACCCCCACCCCGAGGGATTTCCTAGTTCTCCCAGGCTGGAGGTCTCCGAGTCCTCTCTCCTTCCCTTCCCCACAGAAATCTCTTAAATCCAGCTGCCTTCCTATCACTTCATGAATCCTCCAGCATACAACCTCCATCCCCTTCTTAAAAGAAACCAGTTAAAAAAGGTATCCCCTGCTTCCTCATTTGCAATGATAAAGCAGCCAGGAAGCATTGTTATGAGAAGATCCTTAATATTGAAGTTGGCCGCATTTAAACAAGAGGAGCCTTCCCATAAGGGCTTGTCACATAATGGGTGTCCAGCAGACACGTCACGGCTTTGGAGAACTTCTGGCTGGTCCAGTCCGCGACCGTTCAGGGAGGGCAGGTCTCCATTCAAAAATCACAACACTGAAGTTCGGAAACGTGTGACTTGCCTAATGCCACGTAGTTAAGTGGAAAAGCTGAAATTTGATCCTAAATCTTCCTCTTGTCCCACCTTGCTGCTTCATCTTGCAGGGCTGCCTTACATTAACGGTGTCTTCCATCTTACATTAATGATGTCTACTCCCAGGAAGCCAAGTTGAACACCAGTTTAAGTTCCTTTCCGGTCCATTGTCCTCAGTAGGTAAATTTAACCAAGCATTCCGATCCCTAATATGCAACACACTGTGACACTCTCAAGAACCATAGACATTTCTTCTTTCCTTGCAGATTTTTAAGTTACATCTAAGCAGTCAAACGAAATCCTTCATGGAATTTCCTTAGCTGGCTGCCAGCCTACCTGCCAATCAAGGTTTCCTTTATGGCTACCAACCCCTGGTAGTTTCTTCACCGCATCCCAAACTGGTGCCAGCTTTTAGGAGATGGTAAATAGAGAATAAGTCTATAAAAAAGTGAAGAAGAATAAAAATTATTCAATTTTATGTTGTTTCTGTTGCTCTGTATATCCCGATTCTTGCAGGCAAACTTAAGGGAAGAAAAAAAAGAAAGACCCATGCATGTTTTTGCTCTTATAAAGGGGTACAAATGAGAACATGACTCAAAGTAAAGAAAGCATCTTTTATAGGTTTATTGGTCCATTACTTTAAGTTAACTGAGGTAAAGAAAACTTGGAAATTTACACGCTAACAGTTTATCAAGCAATACAAATTTTTATTTACCTCAAAATGTAATACTAATCCCATAGTAAACAATGGACAGAATTTTTAATACACAGATACATGAAAAAAAAAGTGGACAAAAACTTCGTGCCAGCATCAAAAATGCAACAAAAGCTCTTTTTTTTTTTTTTTTTCTTTTCACAATCTCTGGGTTCCATAACAAGGAAAAAACCGTGACATTCTTTTTAAAATTTGGTAGCTTCATGAAACAAAGGCTTTGATCTGTAAATAAATCACTTTCTCATCTACACACCTTCTTGAACACATTTGTGTTTTTTCACAGCCTTTGATTTGGCTTAATGGCAGCATGGAGAGAACACATTTATACAAAGGACTTTATCAATAACCTCAGGAGGGTTTTTTCTCTTACAATTTTTAATGTAAAGAATGGTTTCTAAACATAAGAAATACAGTCCATAATTTGGATATGACCTAAGCAAAAGACTTTTTTAAAAAAATCTTTTCAACAGTTAAAATACTAGTTAGAAAGTCTGCTGGCAGTTTATTTCACGGGAATATATCGGGCATCCACCGCTTCTCGATGCACTGCCATCTCACAGACTTCGGCGAGCAGGCACGCGGGAAGTACAACGGACAGCGCATCTGCTGGGCGGTCCCCAAACCTCAAAGGTGTCCAGGGGGACAGAGCTGTCACTCAATGAGGGCCCGGTGGACATGGGCATCATTTCAACATCCTGAACATTCTTGTCTGCAACCTGCTTTCCTCGCTCCATTTCCACACCGCGGTCAAAGCAACCCCCTTTCTTCTTTCCAGCACGGGGCTGGGGGGCGGGGACTGAGTCTGTGAACCAGCCCATCAAACAGGGGTGTCGACAGGTGTTGCCTGCCCTCACCTGGCCCACGGGGAGCCGGAACCCCCCCGGGGGCGGCGGGGGAGGGGGAGAGGGTAGCGCGCGCAGCACTCATTTACTGGTTTTTGTAGAAAAGTTCTGTTAAAATGGACTAAATTATGTGAGTCAACACAATACGTTTTATGTTTTTGGCATTTCAACCTGTGGAGAGTTTCTCTCTGAAACATGCCCCACAGTATCTCTGAAAAAGCTGTTCTGCGGAATCAGGGTAAACCTTTAATGTTGTCAGAATCTATAGAGTTCTCTGTGTCTATGTGATTTGTCAGTGCTGATACTAGATATTCTCTACAATCAGAAGTGTGCCAAAAGGCAGTAAATTAATCTCTCACACTTTAAAACAAAAAAGGGGTTTGTGGTCCCTGTGTTCCCTGACTTTATCAGAAACATCATTTGGCAATAGCACTGCTTAGCTTTCTCCTCCCAAAAGGCAGCCCTGACTAGGAACCTCATTTTCTTGTTTCTTTAAGGGGATGGAGGACTGGCCATGTTAGACCTCTAGTACTTAAGCTGAACAACTGATTACATTTCTAAAAACTCTTTTTATTCAGCATCTAAAAAACACTAGTTGAAGAATAAGGCATTTTAACAGGCGTTCACAATTTCTCAAAAAGTAGAGTTAAACTTTTAAGTTTGCGGTATTTTTAAAAGTCTGAATTTGTTGATTTTGAAGTGCTAAGTACACGTAATAGTTATGTATGGGACAAATAATATTACTGGTTTATTGAGGTTATTTTTCCAAAGTACTTATTTACAGGCTGTCTAGAGTAGTAAGAACTACCTGGATAACCTATTTTTGCGCCACATAGAAGGGGTTAGACAGCCATACCCAGAAAGCATTTCAGACACATATGATTAAGAAAGAACAGTCAAACCCCTGTATCAAAGTGCCTGCTCACCTTTTCTAATGCAGTCAGCTCTGTGCGTGCTCTGGTCTGGGCAACTATGGGGAGACCAGACTTCCTTAAAACAAAAATCTCCCCCGCTATGGGGTAGGCTGATCAAAAATTGGGTTTCTAGATTATTCACTGAATTTAAAAAATCACAGGGAGGAGGACAACTCCAACACACCCAGCTCCACGTGTCTGGCCCATGGGATGACATTTTCCTCAAACTTCCTAATAAACGCCACCTGCCATCCAAACAGAGAAAATGAAAGGAGAGGGCAAGTCCCACCTAGTGCTATCCTGAGGACTTGTGAAAATAAGAGGCAAACTCCATTCCCAACATCATTTTGTAAACGGGAATGACGAAAGCAGTGTTCCCCCAGCCTTCGAATCCAGTCCCCTGGTTTCCACAGGCCTTTAAAGCAGCTGGCTAGGAAGGCAAGGGCCCGCGTGGCGAGCCCCCTGCCCTGGCCACAGGCGGCCCAGTTTCTGAGCAGAAGCACCTCCTGGGGCAGCCGGAGGAGAGCCGGGCTCTGACCCATCCCAAGACCCAAACAGAGGAGGCCAACACAGACCTAGCAGGTTGCTCTGGGCCTCGCCGTCCCTCCCCTGGCACCAGTCAGGACAGAGTGTAGACAATGGCTATGCTGCAATCCAATGAACGGTGTCAAAACAGAGCCGGTGCCTGTGATATCAATACTAACAACGGCAGGGCCAAGGCACACAAATTCTGGGCATTGCTTGCACTGACACCATCCTGAGAGAAACCGCACTTGCAGACTGCCACGGGCCGTCACGCCCCGCCCCCCAAGGCGGAACTTCCTGTTGTGCCATCACAGAAAAGAGACAGCCTCCCAAGAAAGAGTAGTGTGCACTTAGTTTTCTCACGTGGACGGCAACTGAGAAAACACATTCAGTTCAACAACACGGAGGACACAATCCGGGTGTAGCTAAAATTTGGCAGGAAGACAAACTTACGTTACATTCACCATGATCCCCAGCATGGTGCTGGGCTTTGCTATTTCAGCTAAACAAAGGTGTCTGGTGAATTCAAGGAGAAGCGCCGTGAAATACGAGCCAACCACCTCCAGAATCACACTTATCTGAGCTCATCAGGAGTCATTACTGTCTTATTAAACGAGAAATCCCGACCCCAGATCTGTCTGTGCAGGACGTTCCTCCTCCATGAGGGGCAGTGGGTCCTTGCAGAGGAGCCTAGAATCTTCTTGCTGACCCCACTACATGGTAAAAAAGAGCAGGGTCCATGTCTGTTACCAGTCACAACTGCCGTCCTCAACAGAGCAGATCATTAGCTCGCTAAAATCTGCTCAGTTTCTAGGACTTCTCTCTTCTGCCTTAGCCTGGATTTTGAACCTGGGCAATTGTAACCTTTCACTCCTGAAGGCCAGGGACAGAGGACAGGGAGGCCTTTCCATTGCCCTGCCCGGTCAACCTGAGCCTTGTCTGTCTGCCTGAGGTAAGGTGTGTCTGCAACCAAAAATCTCCTGGAAAACAAATACAAGACAGGAGTCAGTGATCTCAGCACCACGGCTTTGTGGAGCCAAGAAGGATGGGGTGACGAAGCCTCTACGAGGCAGTCTTTGGCACAGAAGTCTCTGGGTTCCACATTGTCACAGGGAATCAATCACCTTTGTGCTGATCAACATGAAGAGGCAAGTGCTTGGGGCTTCTGACCCTCAGGGGCCCACGGGAGCCATGGGAAGGGCTGGAGGGCCTCCTTCACTGCCTACTGACCCTTTCCTTTGGTCCAACCTCCTTCCCTCATCGGATGCCGTGGCCTAGGCCATTTCTCCATGGAAGTCTGTAATGCACACTGGTTTTCCGAGTCCTGTTACCAACGGCATGCTGGAGGGCAATTTGTCTTGTTCCCGCTCTCTCAGATGTCTTAAAGAAAGCAACACGGGGACCAGAGAAAGACAAAATCCCAAGACGCCCAAATCCCTTCAGAGCTAGTCTTCTGCCTCCAATAATGTGTGGAGATGACTGCAGACCCTGCTCCCGTCCCCAAATGTCCCAGCGATGAACTCGATATCTTTGGGAAGGGTTGCCTTCTTTGTCAACTAACCCTGACACAGGAATGTCCCTGGGCTTTGGCAACTAGCAGCAGAGTGTACTCTTCTTGTAACTCCTGCTATAGTTCTAAGTATTCATTACACTGGGCGACAGTTTTAAAGCACATATTCCATAAGGCAAGTCTTCACATGTTCCCAAAGATGAGTGTTTGCTGCTGGGTCAGTCTAGTGTCTCCTATCAAATATCAATAGAGGGCCATCCACCCACCCCGATTCTACAAGCATGTGGTCAGGCTGCACCCGGGCCTTCCTACCCACACCAACGTGATGGTTTAGAGGTAGAATGAAACACTGAATCACCCCTCGGGGAAGATGGACTATTCTCATGTGTCTACTTCAGTGAATCATTTCTAATCGTACCAAACTGAGAATTCACATCAAAGGGTTTTAGAATGGCACAAATGGGGTCTAACAGCGCAGTCAAGTACCTATTGATATAAAAATTACAACCGAAACTGTGACTTTTTCAGATACAAGGAAGCAGAACCAAACTGTCCTGTGCTGTCCGACTGCTGCCCCGACAGCATCTGAGGGAGCTGAGGGTCAGCATCGTGGCCGTGGCTGACACAAGGTCAACTCCGCTGCTGTAAGTGGAGCCAAGTGACCTCAATGTGCCGCACACCGGCCGGTGTTGGCAGGTCAGCCTCCATGTGCAGCAGTGTCTCAGCACAGCTGTTGCACTGGAAAAAAATACTATCACTTCTTTGAGATTTATAATGTGATAGGGATGAGCCACAGATGAAAGAACACAAACGTGACATGTCCAGCTTCGTTTCAGGAGAAGAAGAAAAAAAAAAGAGTTCTTTTCTTTGTCTGCCTGTGTTTATGTTGATTTGAAAAGTCAACCTGGTAATAGTGTGAAATAAAGACTTGAGCTGCAGTCCGCGGTCCCCGGGCTCTTGGCGACACACTGACTTCAGCTTAACTAGGAGGAAGGGTTCGCTGTTGCCCATGTCACCAAGGAGGCCCGGCCATCCTTCCTGATCAGGAAGTAGTGTGGGTTAAAGCACTTCATGTGGGACAGTCACACTGAGTTTACAAAATCTCGGCTGTGTCGTAACCAGATACCAGCTTCTCACCACAAGGTTGCCCAAACACTCAGTGGACATAATAGGAAACATTAAACTAGGAATTTTTGGTGAGGTAAAGGCCATTGCGCAGAGCAGGAGTGGGCAGGGGGCCTGGCATCTGCCTGGGGATCTCAACGGCTGGGGAGCTACCCTGGCTTCAGGACAATGGCTACTCCCTGACAGGCCTGCTCTCTAGGCTGATGACAAGCGAAAGAAAAACATGGAAGAACGTCACAGAGAAAAACGCACCTTTTTTCATTTTACACAAAAACAGTTTCCAAACTACCGCATTCTAGCGTCAGAGCGGAGTGTGCGGAGTGCTGTCCCCGCAGCTTCCCAAGGCCGCGTGAGGAGCAGGACACTGGCCTGCTCGCTCCAGCACGGATGCACTTAGACACCGATTTCAACGGCCTCATATGAACCAGAAGCCATAAAACAGGTGTCACTCATCACAAGCAGGCAGCAGGCCGCAGGCACGGTCACCGGCCGCTGTGCACGAAGGGCCTTCCGTGGAGGGGCCAGTGCCTCCTGCCGGGCCAGGACATGTCATTGCCTCCAGAGGTCCATCCCAAGCTGCCGTGTATCCATGGAAAGCAAGAGCGGCCTTCTGTTCATGCCTTCCTCATGCCCCTGAAAAGCAGGAAGCCATAATGAGATGTCAGAATGTCGGCTGCGGGCATCTCGTCCCTCACGTCCAAATCTTCGTCGCATTCTGTGTCATGGGTTCCTTCACAGCACGGAGGTACGCGGCTTCGGCTGAGACGATCATAGCCCTCCGGACTCCGCCAGGGAATAAATACCAGTTGAAAACAACTGTCAGACAAAGGCAGGTGGGGGTGGGAAAGAAATACACGAGGAGAGATGTTTCTGTGGTTGTTTTCTCAGTGCTGCCTCGCTGGCACCGCAGGGACATTCCGGGACGGGGCGCCATGCCCTGTGTGGGTAGAAGAGCCTCTGTCCCGAGAAGGAGCTCACTTGGCCTCCTGCTTCTCCTGCAGCAGTGGAATGATCGACTCCCACGCCATGAGGCACTGAAACAACAACACGGGCACAGAGTATCAGCAGCGAGTTTCAGCTTTCGGGGTCAGCTTCTTAGTTCTGCTCTCATCCTGCCACTCCTGCTGGGTCACCTTTGTCTGACGACACCTACAGGCACCATCCATAACTACTAGAAACAGGGGAGGTAGCAGGTGTTGGTTTTGAACACATCACCCCCTTTCAGTGAAAGATCACAGCCTCTGTTCAAGGTCTGAGCGCACTGTCCATACTAAATGCTCATATCCAGTGAGCGAAAATGGAGTTACTGAAAGAAAGTCTTTCCCTTCAAAAAGCAGAGAGGAGGCCAGGCTGCAAACCCTTGATGAGGCCCTAGGTTCTCAGCCAGGATGGAGACACGGCTCCAGGTATCGGTGGCGCTTGCATAAGGCTGTAAATCACATTGGAATGAGTCAGCCACCTGACTCCAAGGGCTGGAAACCTGCTCTTCCTCACCAACCTCACCTGTGCTTGTGTGGGCGACTCCTGGATCTCCCACAAGGGAAAATGGCGGGAGGGAACTCTCTCTATTTATTGCTTCATTGCTCCAAATGCTGTTATGTACAGGGTCCGGCAGAAGTAACGCCTACTTGACTGTGGCTGATAGGGTAATTATATGGGTGTAATAATTTATGGTTTTAATTCGAATGTTTCACCTAAAACCTCATACGGTATGCTTGAGTGTGTTGTTATTATTATGTTACAGAATTGCATGCTTATGCTATTGTAACAAAAGATTTTGTAACTTAAACACGGGGCGTTATTTGTGCCGGACCCTGTCTTTTATGTTCACTACAGGTAGTCCTCCCAACAACTCTATGAAGTAGAATTATAATTTATTACAAACACACACACATACACATTTTATAGATGGAGAAAATGAGACCCAGAGGGGTTCGATAACTTGCCCAAGACACACAGCTAGTAAGCTGGCAGAGCCACGATTCCAAAACAAGTGTTCTTTCCACTCTACTGATCCCCTCTCATCCCTGATCCCTGTGAAGGGCCAAGAACTTAGAGGACCCTGGCACTCTCCTCTTAGAGCATCCTGCTGAGCAGAAATGAGTCTCCCTTTGAGAAGTCTTTTGCAAAGAGGGAAGAACAGGGGAAATCACACAGGCCTTTCTTAGGAGCAGCTGCAGGGGTGAAGCAGGACTTTGCACTGAGTCACTGGGAGCAAATTCTGAGGAGGTGGGAAGAGAGAGGCATCCATAGGTCGAGCCAGGGAAAGGAATGGTAAAATCGTTCCCTGCTTCTCTTTCCTGATGACTCTGAGGTTGAAGAAGCCAAACTCCGGCCCTGCCCTGCATAAGGGAGGCTGGGGGATTCAAAGAGCTGGCTTTCGGCCAGAGACCCCGGGCGGGGGCCGGGGCATTCTGGGTCCTGCTCTCTCCCTAGGCCATCATCTCGGACCTGGAAGGGTCTTTCTGTGTCAGTGATGGGGAACCAGGGCCGCACCAGCTTTCCCTTTGATCCTCAAATGCTCAAGCTTTTTCCTACCTCCGACCCTGGCATATGTTGCTCCCTTTGCCTGCAATACTTAGCCCCCAAGTCTTCGTTTCAGAGAATCAGATTAAACGTAGTTTCCTCACTTTGGCCTTTCCTGCGCACTCCACTCGCCCCCTCCCACCTCTAATCTGGACTGCGCCCCCTAGTACTTCCTCCCGCAGCTTCCTGTTCTTCACCTCGCTCTGGAGAGGTGGGATTACTGGATCAGGGGCCATCTCCACCAGACTGTCGGCCCCTTGATGGTAGGAGTCCTGCTGTTGTGTTTATTAATGTGGACCCATCCCTTGCACACAGAAAGCTTAGTTAAGTGTACAAAGGAGCCAAGACGAGGTTCCAAGACAGTGAAACTGTGTGTGGTATATGGGAATTCATGAAAAAAAGCTGTTTTAATAGTTTTCCTTTATAGTCCTACACATCTTTATTTTAGATATTGAAGAGCAGTGTTTTAAAGTCTATTTTTAAAAAAACAAACAAACAGTATTTTGATAAGGGATCTATAGTCTCTACCCGATGACCAAAGGGACCCATAGGAAAATGGGAGTGAAGAGCGCCAGTGCACAGGGCCACAACGGGAGGGTACTTTAAGTTCTAAGCCCAAAGCCGCCATTAAAGTGACCCCCAGCCTCCATTAACTGGGGGCGTCCCTGCGGTGAAGGCCTGATTGGTTCCGGGAAGCAGCTGGTCACCAGCACCAAAGGGCACAGAAGGGAAAACTTCTGCTTCCATCAGCAGAGATGGACACCCAGGGGGCACCCGGGCGGGGGTGCTGCTCCCCAAATCAGCACCGCATCGAGCCTAGCTGGGCAAAGACATGCAGGGGTTGCTAAGAATAAACATACAATGAAGGAAGGAGCTGGGACCGAGGACGCCTGCTCCTGGATCTCTGCCAGGCCCTTCCGAAAGGCTCTGGCCGGTGGAAATACCCCCTCAGCCAGGGGCTGCGGCCCGGTCGGCGAGCTCATTACCTTCTCATAATACTGGATGTTCTTGTCAGCCATGCCCATGAGCAGCTGCCGGAAGTCCTGCCTCTTGTTGTTCTGCCACCTCTCCATGTCGGCTTTCAGGTCAGCATTGAAACACTCCATCCGATCCTGACATTTCTCAACCTCCGCGGGCACCTGGAAGGGGGACGCAGAAGTGGGTGCTTTGTACGTGTGACTGGCTTCTCACGCCTGGAACTATTCTGCTCACACACTCGCGAAGAGCTGGATTACCACATTAAAGTGCCACATACGCACTCTCTGGAGGCATTACTTTGAAGGTAAGGCCCATTGTTTTCAGGCCTAAGAAGGAATTCTGAAAAAGACCATCCTGACCCAAATCTTCAAACCCATCCAAGCACAACAGAGACTCATGGGGGAAACACCCCCCTCCCCATTTACAAGCAGGAAGAAGAAACATTGCATTCAGAGTCATATATCTTTGGTTCCTTTTTTTTTTTTTTAAACATAGCAATGTATGTAGAGTTTGCATTTATTTAGCAGAATTTGACATTACCCTGCTGGTCTCCTGTGCCAAACAACTAAACTAGAAAAGGTTTTCCCATTATTATGTGAACGATTCCATTACTTCTGATGTCTGGCAATGTCTATCTTCACTAATCAGAGAATTAATTGCAATAATAAGACTATGGGCTGGCTCCCTCCTCTGAACCGCACATTACAGATAATCTGGAGGCTTGTCCACGCTCCCTGAGATAGTAGATTGTCAAGAAGGAAAAGGAAAAGAGAAAGGCAATTCTGGGGAAATAAAAGAAAAAATATTTATGTTCGCTAAAAAGAAAAAGAGAAAAATGTAGCAGGCTATTCCAAGGTTTTCTTAAAGGAAACTTTCTCAAAATGGCACAACGTCACCTGAATGTCACAACTTTCATTTTGCTTTGGTGGATTTCATCCATCCCACACATCTGGACAGAGAACATCCAATGTTATGAAAAGGTAACAGGAAATGATTATCCTGCTTGCCAAAGCACAAAGCTAGCTTCTGTCCTCAGTCAAGAGCTCCGCTGGGCCCTGATGGTCATCAGGGGGTCAACATGCCCAAAGCTGGGTCAACGCCCTCCCGCCAAATGCTTCCCAACAGCAAATGAGGCCTTGTACCGTTTGCGTGCTGGGTCCTGTGAACCTCAAAGTCTCCAAACTGTGGGTACCTTATGGGCCAGTCTCTGCCAACCAGGGAAGTTTTATACCCAGGCCTTATGGGCAAGGAGCCTACCTACCCAGGAATGCCAATAATGGGGAGGTCAAGCTTGAGGGAGCTGGACACCTTCAGGGCTTCTAAAGCCAAGGGCGTTGGCCTCGTGCCACCCAGCCCGTTCGGAGGTGGCTGCGGTACACAGGACAGAGGACAAGGAAGCAGCCTAGGCAAGGGGATCCAAATGTGCCTGGCATGGGAGCTCGACTTGGGTGAGACAAGGATGAGCTGGAGAGAAAGAGACGACAAGGCATCCTGGCCACTTGAAAGGAAAGAACTTTTCTTTTAATGGGGACGAAAGGAGCCTCCTTCAAAGCACTTAAGCTTCTGGAATTAAAACAAACAAACAAAAAATACTTGAGTCCTAACTGGTGTAGCTCAGTGAGTTACGCATCCTCCCGCAAACCAACAGGTTGCAAGTTCGATTCCCGGTCAGGGCACATGCCTGGGCTGTGGGCCAGGTCCCCTGTTGGGGGCATGCGAGAGGTGACTAATTGATGTTTCTCTCCCTCTCTTTCTCCTTCCCTTCCTCTCTCTCTACAAACAAATAAATAAAACCTTTAAAAAAAATACTTGACTTCATGACTGAGGTCACTCTGGCCTTTCCCTGCTGACTCACCCATTGCTGCTGGCCACCTGGCGAGGAGTGAAAGAAAACAAGAGTGCCCTGGCTTGGCTGCACCAGACGCCCCCCTAAAAAACACCAGAGAGCCGGCCTGGAGGGACACCCAGTGCGCCAGGGTCTCTGGCCAGGCCCCATCTCCCTGCAGGCACAGTCTAGTTCCCTTATTCCTCTCCTGGGCACCGCTCACTTTAACCTCTGGGTGAATGAGGGCCTGGGAGCAACTTCCTGTTTGCTTAGCAAAACTGCTTCAAAAAGCAAAGCTCTGAAAAGAGAACCTCATGGCGGGCAGGGCCCAGGGAGAAGGGGGAGGCTAGGCTCTCTGATTCAGGGGAGTTCTTGTGGGGGAGGGTAGCGGGGCGTGGGAGGGAGCTTTCTTATCGGGATGGGCGCTCTGGCTGACCCACAAAAATGAAGAGTCAGAACTACAGCTCTGGATTTTACGATTGCCTGGGCCTGGCGGTGGGAAATATTTGTAGCTCATCATTTTCACAGCACACTCCACACTTGGCCCTGAGGGATACGAGAGTGCTTTAGGTCTCTGTAGGCAAACTTATCTCAAGTCACCTACAGTCTCTTTGGGGAGAAAATGAACCTGCCTGGATGGTTACTGGTGAGACGCTTTCCCTTCACTCCAAGCCCGTGGTGAGCACAGCATGAGGCGGAACTGGAGGGCGAGTCCAACTGGGATAAGGGATCAGGCCTCCTGGGAGAAATACCACTGAGGAGACTCTTCAGAGATGACAGAAGCGGCACGTGTGACGATGGGGGAGAGGGCACTCTAGTGGGACGGTACATGCAAGTGACAGAAGTGACAGAGCACCTAGACGCACCTCGGGAATAGCTCACCGGCCACAGCGCTCACAAAGGCATAGAGAGAAGACTCTAGCTGGCGAGACTTGGGAGGGGAGGGATGCACAGGCCTGGGATCCTTCCAGCTTTTCTGAGGTCCCTTTACCTCACACCCCTTTCTGGAAAACAGAAATGCCTTGTGCTTCCTCTAGCTACACAGACCAGTGATTTTTCAACCTTTTTCATCTCATGGTACACGTAAACTAATTGCTATAATTCGGCAGCGCACCAAAAAATGTGTTTTGTTTTGTTTTTGCTGATTGGACAAAAAAATAGGTATAATTTCGATTCATTCACTCTGGGCAGCTCCTGTTGTATTGGCTGTTGTTGTCTGACAATCTAAGGGAAAAGAGGTCAGTGTTCTTGGCTGAATAGCCGGGTACTGCATGTTTTAAAGTTTTTCGCGGCGCACTGCTAGAGCGTCGCAGATATAGACAGTCACGGAGCCAGAGTTCCCGAGTTCGAATACCGCATCTCCCACTTGCTGGACGGGCGGCATTGGGCCTCTCAGTGCCTCAGCTTCTTTTTCTGGATAACACCACCCACAGCACAAGGCTGTTATGAGGTTGAATGAGATAGAATGCATAACACACTTGGTGCCTGGCGTACTTTAAACACTCTATAAATATCAATTAGTTCTGGTCAGTTTCAATATTATACATAAATTGAGGTTCATAAAAGATAATCTACCATTTGCAAGTGTTCCTCAGGTCAGAGTATCTTATTGAGCTTTATTCCCCATCTTATAAAAAGAGATTACTTTTTTTGTTTTCCAAATATAAACTATTGTAACATAATCAAAACATATTCTTTCAAACGGCGTATTACTCCTCACCCTTGCGGCCGCACCCAAGATTTCACCAGAGATCAGACATGAGTCAACACCAAAGTACACTGTCATGCGATGATCCTGAACGCCCGGGAAGCAGGGCAGCGGCCGTAACGCCAGAAGGGAGAGGACAGATTAGACCAAGCTGGTGGATACAGAACGGACAGATCTGACCACAGCTGCACGTGAGAGAGAAGATACAGAAAGTCAGAGAAGAGCCTGCAGCTTCTCGCCTGGGTGACGAGTGTAGCGATAGGATAAAAGACAGATGCACAGACCAAATACGGGACTACAGGAGCTGCAGCCACAGGGAAGGGCGAGAGCTTCCCCCCGCCAAAGCGGCCTGAAACAACTCCACGGCAATCAAGCAACCCGACTTTAAAATGAGCAAAGGCCGTGAATAGACATTTCTTCAAAGGAGACATACAAATGGCTCACAAGCACATGATGTAGGCTCCACAGCACTAATCACTATGGAAATGCAAGTCAAACCACAATGATATAACCACCTCATGCCCATTAGGATTATTAAAACACACACACACACACACACACACACACACACCACAACAACAGAAAATAAGAAGTATTGGTGAGGATGTAGAGAAAGTGAAACCCTTGTGCACTTTTAGTGGGAAAGTAAAACGGTACAACCATTGCGGAAATCAGTATGACAGTTCCTCAAAAATTAAAAAATGTAATTGCAATGTGATCCAACAACTCCTCTTATGGGTACATATGCAATAGAATTGAAAGCAGGGTCTCAAGGATCTATTTGTACACCCATGTTCATTGCAGCATTATTCACAATAGCCAAAAGGTGGAAGCAACGCAAGCGTCCATCCACAGATGAATGGGTAAACAAAAAGTGGTGTTCACATACAACGGAATGTTACTCAGCCTTAAGAAGGAAGGAAACTTTGACACTTGCCTCAGCATGGATGCACCTTCAGGACATTGTGCTCAATGAAATAAAGTCACAAAAAGATACCTACTGTATAATTTCACTTATATGAAGTACCTACCTAGAGTAGTCAAATTCATAGAGACAGAAAGTAGAAGGGTGGTTGCCGGGGGCCAGAGGGAGGGGGAAATGCAGAGTTACTGTTTAATGGGTACAGAGTTTTGGTTCTGCAAGATAAAGAGTTCTAGAGATTGGCTGCACAGCCCTGTGAATTTACTAAACCCTACTGAACTGTATGTACACTAAAAACAGTTAAGATGATGTCATAATGTGTGTGTATTTTGCCATGATTAAAATTTGCTTAATGTATGGGGGACTAAAAGAGGGGGCTGAGGAAGGGAGGGGTCCCTGGGTAGAACTCATGGAGACGCCTACATGCGTATGGTAATAAAGGAGCCCGCAAAGGCCACTAAGAAAGAGGGGCCCAGACGCGGGAGTGAGTCAGTCAGGGACGGCAGAGGCATAGAAACATGGGGATGGCAGGAGTTAAGAAAGGGGCAGCGGGTTTAAAAAGGACAGAATAAGAGGAATTGGGGTGAGCTGCCTGAAATGACCAGCTTCTGAAGTTGCCCAACTTTATGAGGAGGAGGACCCCTGGCATCAGATGCTCAGAATCACATTCTTTCTGCATTTGTTTCTTTTTGGATGGTGTTTCTGTGACTATAGGTTCACTGAGCAGAAAACTCCAGCATTGAGCTATTGTTAGAGTTGCGCTACTTTGTATCTGAAGGGAGCTGAGATGGCAACATCCAATGCCAATGGCTGGGTGCTGCTTATCACTAGCCCCCAAGAAGAAAAAAGTATCACCAGCTTAGACATCAAAAGGCAGCAACTCCAAAACAGAACAAAAGCCTGCATTTTTCTCATCAACTCTCCTTCTCGCTGGTGAGAATGTCCACTCCAGAATGTGGGTTGTTGAAGGGATGGGAGAGGGGTCATGTGGGATAAACCAAGCACTGTTGTGTGTTGGGAAACAGGGTGTTAACATAAATTCTCTCAACACTCGTTTAAAAATGTGTTAGTGAGCTCTTTCCGTGTGCCAGGCATTTCTAGGCCCTGCAAAACCCCCACTCAAGTTTCCTTCTCGGAGCTACGCTGGAGATGTCACATCATCTGCTCCCACGATGACAGCAGGTTTAAAAAGCCCCCAGAGATTATATAAGGCAGATGGGATCCCCAAACCCGTGGGAGAGGGAGTTCGCAGCTACTGTGGGACAGGTGCCAGGACCAACGCGACAGAAGCATTTCAAGATGGGAGTCTTCTGGGCCACCGGCCCCAGGGTGCAAGGCGGGGCAGACCTTCCTACGCCCCACGGTGAGAATGTTCTGACCTCTGTGGGAAGCCGCAGTCCCCAGCTGCTCCCCTCCAGCTTCTTTCTTTGGGTTACGGAGAAGTGGTCAGATTTTGCTGTTTCTCTGTTGTTTCACAAGTACCAACTTTCCCAGATTCCGCCTCAAAACAAGGGAAACCCCAGCCCCTCTCTGGATCTTCTGTTAACGCCCCCAGACCTGGACCATGCCCAGCCCTGGACCACCCCTGTGGAAACTGCTGTTCTCTGCCTCCTTCCCTCCTCCTGGTGGTGCCCTGGAAACAATGTTGCTCCCACTGTAAGTTACCAAGAGCAGAGCTCATCAGTCCCTGGGGTAAAATCAACCTTGCCTTTCCTCTCACCAACAGCAGCTCTGGAAAGCAGAGCTCAAAACTACATAAAAGAAAGCGCAGCAAAAGCTTACGCTACGGTCGGTCAGGGCGCAGAGGCAGTTGGGAGGCATGGGAAAGCAGGAGAAGCTATAGGACACAAAGAAATGATGCCTAAAATGATATGCTTGGACAGAAAATTTTTTTTTTAAATCCTAAGTGTCAACCAACTCAGAAAACACATTCGGCATTCCTCCTGGTGACAACTAGAACTCGAATGGGAAGCAGAGGCTCCAGCAATGGGCGCCTGTGACTGCAGCCAATGCTGTGCCCATCTTTACATCCTCACGACAATCCACGTATGAACCCCACGAAGGCTGATGAGCAAACCGGTCCAGGCCCGGGGGCGGGCGGCAGCGGAGAGCTGGGGTTCGAAGCCTGGGCTGCCTGATTCTAAATCCTGTGCTCTTTCTACCAAACCACGGTGGACTTGGGCAGGTTGCCAATGGAGCTCTCCTCTGCCCACCAAAGGGGCTGCTGCCCCAGATCCCAAACTGGGGGTACGGTCTCCGTTGCCCCCACTGGTACAGCTTCCATCACGACAGCCCGGGCTTTGTTGTTAAATATCGCGATCGTTACGTAGATAGCAAAACTAACTTTGGCAAGGCTCAGAATCCCCCAGAAGCAGGGGAGGCTCAGACTGCTGGCCCGCGCAGGCTAAGGGGATGCGGCCATGTCTGGAACCTGCTGGCTCATCTCAGGGCCTGGAAAGAAACCTGCTTTTCTTGTCAGAATCCTTGTGGCCAAGAGAATGAGTGAAGCTCCAGGGGCATGAGGACAGCAGCAGCAAGAGGGTGCGAACACCCACTGGGAGGAGAGGAGGAGTCACCCAGGCCGGCAAGGAGCTGAGGCTGGAGGCAGGCGCCCTCCGCGGCAGGGAGCCGGCACTAGCCGCTCCGCTGCTCCGTCTGCCCCAAGGCGGGTATGAGCTGCAGGCAGCTGGCGAGCCAGGGCAGAATCAAGATTTAATTCGGCGTATTATTCATACCCTTCAGCTCCTCTCTTTGTAAAGCAACTGTCCCAGATAGGGCTGAGCATATATTAAATGACGACACCGGCCTCTGAGAAAGCTGGTATTCGGAGCTGAGCAGGTGTGAACACTGACAGAACCATTTAAGTGACATCTTTTAAATACAGGATCCACAGCTTCCACACTCGGCCAGTGGCCGGGCTTGCCATCTCTCTTTCCCTCCCTGGCCAGGAAAAGTGACATCTATGTTTATACTTGGGAGCTAAATTGAGAGGATGGTAATTTGAAATATAGACAGACAGTATTCCACGCCACTCCTTTCAATGAGACTGAGGCCTGGGCTCAGCACTACGTCCCACAACACCACAGGGACGCCCGGCCCGGTCAACGGGGCAGGCGGCAGGGAGCCAGAGGGCGGCCGTGCACACAGCTGCACCACTCTCATCTCCTCCCTCCGGGCACGCAGGATGGAAGAGGGGGCCAAGTTCCAGCTGCAAACACTGGGCCAACGACAGGAGTCCCTGCCTTTATCGTCGGGGAGATGTATGCAGCCTTCACTCTCTTGTGTAGACACTATGGGTGTCATACGACAAGCTGTGACAAGTGTACTGTCTGCCTGCTGGAGCAAGCAGACTGGATAAAGACCTTTGGCATCAACAAAACCAGGCAACTTATTGAGCTGCTGTGGCTGTGTGCCCTGTCTCCTCACCCATGGCACAGGGAGAGAACAGCGCCTTCCTTCTGGGCCTCGGGTGACCGCTGTGGCGATCGGGTGAAGCAATGAATACATAAAGTCCTGTACAGAGTCCAGGCGTGCCGTTTCCGTGGTTCGGGTTTCAAATTCCCAAAGCTACTTCCTTTCCAGGTACATCTCAGCTCAGCAGCAGCCATGAGAAGCAAGACAGAGGAGAAAAACCAAACACGCAAGTTCCGACGTCGACCTATTTCCCTGAGATGGGGGCCCTTGCTCTTAATCTTCCTAATAACATTCCCCACCCCACCCCCTTTCCGAGAACAAATACACCTTCCAATTACAAACAAAAAGGGGCAGAGGAACAGCATGAGGGCTGGCAGGGTTCGGAAGCCAGGCTGCAGGCTGCGGCCTGGCCCGAGCACCCGCCAGCTGCGGGACCTCGGGCCTCGGTGCGCGCGTCACCCAATGGGAATAAGGACGGTGGCTGAACCACATGGCCCTTGTATGGAATAAATGAGATAATACAAGGGTAACGCGCTGAGCGCATTGTTATCACGTACACGTTGGCTGCTGTTACTCTCGTTTTTAATCCTGGCCGGCTGGGGAAAGAGAGGCAACACACGGGAGTGACCGATGCAACAGATGAGTTTTTACAGCTGTGACCCTCCACCTAGACCCAGGGCCCTGGAGCTGGAGGGCGTCATGAGCTAGGTCAGTGCCTCTCAAACTGGGCGGTGAAGGGCTCCTTCTTGTTGGCTTTTTCCCCCAGTCCAACCAAGCGGTAGTCCTACTGTGCATAACCAGTACGCAGCTTGCTCCACATGCAACTCTACGCTAGTTTGACACACTCGTCCTGGGTGTTGAACACATGACAAACTGCCTCCTCTCAGCTTCTATACGCCTCCCGTCATGGACCAGTCCACACACCACACTTCTGAGAACCCTGAGCTACACTGTTCTTCCTCTTTCTCAGTCTCATGCCACAGAGAGAGGGGGACTGCTCATGAATAGCAGAGCTGGAAGTCTTAAAAAAAAAATTAATCCCAGGAAACAGCAGGAAACTCAACCCCAAGTGCACATTAGGAACTCCCAGAAATAAGACGTAAAGGGAACAAAAGGAGGAAATAGCATCAACACAGCCGGCTGGCACTGAGCACCTCCGTCGCCTGTAGCGAGCGATAAGATTCGCTCAGCTCCGGCGCGGTGTGGACAGCGCGCCGCCCAGAGTGCCCGCCCTCCCCAGGGGCCTTCCCTGACCTTGGGGCGGTCTTCCTTTCTCAGAGCCACGGCTTCCAGTTTGGCCTCGTACTCTGCTTGCACTTGGTCCCTCTTCTTCAACACGTTCTGTGGGAAGCAGAAAGGGAAGCATGTAACAGAGTTCACAACGGGGCCCCCAAGCACCAGGCTCCTGTTTCTGTACCCCATTCGTCCCCAGATCGCGGCCCCCAGGCCCAGCCATGCGCTCCGGGGACCGTCTGGTTTGGTGTGACACGTGACATGGACTCAGGAGGAGACAGAGATTTTGTTGTGGTGGTCAAGAGTAAACTTGTTTATTAATTCATGCAAACATTTTCCAACTTGGGGAGAAAGGGAGCAAAGCCAGTACAAAAGGCCTTCTAAGATGTGGGCGCGGGAGAGAGAGATGGTTGAGCTTTACCCCCAAACCAATTCCAGGAGGAAACAATAACAATTTATAGGAATATTTTCACCACATTTGAGCAAAATACAGTTTTTATCCACATTTTCAAACTGATTTCCCACATTAGGGAGACAAGGAGAACCATTCTCAGAGACAGCTTCCTGGTGGGGTGACTCAGCCCGAATCTGAAAGTGAAGGAATTCCGGGGGCCGGAAGTGGGCTGAAAGCTGCCCACCCATCGCCATGGTGAGGTGATGAGCGGTCTCTTGGCTTCCCCTGTCCCCCACACAGAGAACTCTGCTGTGCAGAAATGTGGACCTTGCCAGGTGACAATTCAAGACATTCCCTGAACTGTTAATGCCGAAGTCTACGTTAAGAGAGTTGACCCCTGACAGACTGGTTTCCTCATTGGTCCATTAGGTACTAATCTGTCCTCCACTCTAGGCCAGGTTTACCAAGAGCGGAGATACAGTCCCCACCTGAGCGGCCCTGGCGAGGGGAGAGGTGCGGATGCAGCACGAGTCTGCAGGTGCTCCAGGAGCTGCGCACAGGTCCACAATCCCTGCACCCATGCGGCGAGCCTGCCTGAGTGCGCCGGAAGTGGGCCCCCAGAGAGCCGGCCCCGAGCTACAGTGACGAGCCGGGGCCTGGGGTGCAGAACTTAAGGAGACACCCATGGGCCTGCTCAAGTACCAGGTCGGCACCTGAGCTGGAGCGTCTTCCTCAACCTCCCAGTCCTGGCTCGGCTGCGAAGACGCCACCAGGTAGAACGGAAAAGCATGTGGTTGAAGAGCAAGGGTTTATAAAAAAAAGCATCTGTTTCACCCGCGGGTTTCTTTTTTCTTCTTTTCTTGAATTACAAATGGCAAACCAACAGTGGTAAGAATTCTCTTTCCCACGAACTCCGAAGTCACACGTTGCTATAAAAGGTTCTAATCTTGCACTTTTCCCACAGGGGCTGTCCAGCAGAGGGCGAAGTCGGGTGGGAAGGAGCCATTTCCTGGCTAAGCACCGGGCCTCTTGTGTCCCTGACAACATGCTGAGCGCTGACGAGGGACTGAATAGTTGACAGTGCTCTGGGGACAACCTCCTCCTGGAACGTGCTGACCCGGGGAACCCAACGTCCTCCCGAGGAGAATTTACTCCCGGAAGTGTTCTGCCATGGGAAGAACACGAGGTAAAACCTGTAATAGCTTATTTTTCATTGTTTGCCACTCACCTTTCTCTACATGCTCAAAAGTTCTCTCCCCACAGCCAACAACTTCTGAACAGCAAGGTTTCCAGTTCAATAGACTTTTCTGCTGGATGAAAGGTTCTACCATCTAATACAGCAGCCAGGAGGCCCACAGGCTGACCGAGCTCTTGACGTACGGCTCATGTGATGGAGGAATTGGGTTTAAATTTTTACTTAATTTTATCTAATTTGAATTTAAACTTCCACGGTCACCTATGGCTAGTGGCTGCCATATTGGACAGCACAAATCTAGAGAGGAAAGCAAACCAATAAAAAAAATCAGGGGTCCTTTCTAAACTTCACAGAGCCCAGAAAATATTCTGTCAGGGATGCCCAACCTTTTGGCATCCCTGGGCCACCCTGGAAGGAGAGTAGTCTTGGGCCACACATTGAATACACTGCGACACGTAATCACACAAAAAAATCTCATGATGTTTTGAGTAAATTTACGATTTTGTGTCGGGCCACATTCCCAGCCATCCTGGGCCGCGTGCGGCCCGCGGGCCACAGGTTGGACAGCCCCGTGGCTGGTCTGGTGCCAGCAGGGGTAAAACTCATAATCTCCAACCCAGAGACATGACCACGCGGCGCTCTCCTTGGAGATGCGAATGTGGTGCCTGAGGGGCAACGAGACAGCAGGGAGGGGGCCGCTGGCATGCTTATCACTGCCACGGAGGGCCTGCATAGATGCCCCGCGTCTCACGGGAAAAGCGCACACACCCAGACGAGGGACGGCAACGGGCATGAGTCGTCCCAGTAACACGTTCTCTGTCAGCGTGGCAGGAACAGGCAGGGATGGCGAGAGGTGTGTCAGCTCCGCTCCGCTGCAACACCCCCGTGCACCTCCTCTCCCTACGCCCCCGGCGGGCGAGGGGCCCGAGGTTCAGCCATCCTCCCGCCCCCAGCCAGCTGGGGCCTTCCCCGCCCTCTGTCTCCTCAGTTGCTGTTATTCTCGCCTCTTTCGGTGTGGCCGGAACACTGCCTTCTCGCGCAGGCTGACTGGAGGGTTTGTGCTAACACCCTCGCATCACCAACAGCAGGAAAATCTCTCAACGAGAGTGAAAACTTGCAACGCCCCTGCGCAAGTGAAAGGGTATCGTCTCCATTTTAGATACGGGAACACTAAGGAGGCACCTGGCTGAGGTCACGCCGCTGGTTAACGCTTGGCCGCTGGATGATACCACAGTGGTGACTCACGCGGGCACAGCCAGGAACTCGTTCTGCCTTCAGTTGCAGTCTCCTCTCTTGAATGACTTCTTTGATACCCTCCAATTATCTGCTTTCTCTTCCTGGCACTTGTTATTCAGACGTTGAATATTATGGTCTAGTCCTCTCATTGTCATTATTTTTTCTCTAACCTCTTTTTGTTTCACTGTATATGTGATTTCCTTAATTTTTTCTTCTAACTCTTCTATTTTTTTTTTTAAATTTCTATCATGGTCTTTATTTCCATGAGCTCTTTGTTCTTTGGATTTAAAAAAAAAAAATCTTGTTTTATGGGTATCTCTTTTCTTTTTGAGATACTGATCAATTTTTTCCTGGAAATTTCCTTCTCTCTCAATAATGTTTCACTCAATATGCTTTCTCTTCTTTGTTTTTATTTGACATTCACGTTAGAATCTTCTCTCAAATATTTGGTGACTTTTGTCTGTTTACTAATCCTAGAGGGAAACACTAAAAACCTGATTAAAAGCTCTCTGCACGCCAAGGGCTTGTTGACGGCTCTCTATAGAGGCTCTGCTGGGGTATTTTGTTAGGGATTTACCCCTCCCCTCCAATATCAGTATCTCCTCATCTCTTCCTCAGGCCCCTTCCAATTTTCTAGAAAAGGCTCTTCTGATCTTGCAGGGAGGACATAAGGCAAAGAGAGAAAGATGGTGGAGTCTCAACACTCAGAACCTTTTACTTCACATCCTGATTTCAGGATTTTTGCCCCCACCCTCAAGGTGCCTGGCATCCAGAGACCCTCTATTTTTACCCTCTCGGGAGAATATACCTCCAGTTTCACCAGTTGTGGGGAAGGGACGGCAGCTTCTCTGGGAGGAGGGAGAGAAGAATCCGAAGCTCTATCTGCTTCTTGGGCTCCTAACTAATTTTCCTCTTCAGCTCCTTCCCTCCCTTAGTCCCAGTGGTACTCGGTGCTCCCAGTTCTTGACTTTTCTGAAAAGCTCCACGGTGTGAACAGATGGCTTCTTAATTTGACCCCACAATGAGCTCCTAAGGCAGCTTTTTGGGGTCACTTAGTCCCCTATTACCTCTAAATTTTCTCTCTAGTTCCCAATTGTATTGCTATTGTTTCCCCTGATACCACTCTTTGTTTCTGCAGGATTATGTCTTTAAAAAAAATCATTCTGGTGTCATTTTGGTGCAATTTCACGAAGCACAGAACGTTTAAAAAGTATTCAGCCTGCCAGCACTGGGCATCTCAGAGTTTTAATTATTACACTTTCTGATTTAAAAAAACATTGAAGATCATGTACATTTCTACATCCCACTTCTTCATATTCTCAAGAAATTAGGGCCTCAATCTATAATCACTTTTAAGAAGAATGCAATCTTCTAGGAAACATTTTTAATTTTTGAAAGGTACCAGAATTAGTCAGCCTAAAGTAGCAATTTTCAACCTTTTTCATCTCATGGCACACATAAACTAATTACTAAAATTCTGTGATCTGACCAAAAAAAAAAGATATAATGTTGATTCATTCACATTGGACAGCCACTGTTATGTTGGTTGTTTTAATTTTTTGTATCTGACAATCTAAGGGAAAAAAGAGGTCAGTGCATTGCATGTTTTAAAAATTCTTCTGGCACACTGGGTGAAAATCGCTGACCTAGAGCATTAACTAGTTCCCTTGACTCGTTAGCGCCCCCTTGTGGCTCCTGGGGAGAAACGTGGGCAGGCTGAAAAAACCCCATCACAATTAAATAATTGGCATCTGAGTATCTGTAATGCAAAGACAAATTCTGTCTTTAAACTCAAATTTATGCATCTACATGAGACCTCTAGTCACAATTACCAAATGGCTTCCATATTATTAAATCCAATGGTCGCTGATTATCACGTTCCTTCTCCTAAAATCATTTCTCTTGGCTTGCCCGAGGTAATCCTCTTCTTTTTTTTCCTCTTGCTACACTGACCATTTCTTCTCAGGCTCCTTTTCTACTTCCCTACCTTTCCTACTTCACATTAATACAGCAGCCAGTCCACTTGGCCCCTCATTCAAAACATGCCCCAGATCCACCCACTTCTCTGCCCCCATTTAGTCCAAGTTCCAACACCTTGGTGATATGTCGCTTGGCTGCCAGTGACAGTTTCCTTCAATGGTCTCCCTACCTCCACTCTCACTTTCTACAACCCATTCTCCATATTGCAGCACTAGTTGTCTTCTTACAGTAAGAAATGTCTCCCGTCATTCCCATCATAAGCCAGATAGCTTCCCTTTTATTCCTAAGAATAAATTCCAGACTCTCACCAACCACAGCCTTTAAGATGCTACTGTCCGTCCTGGCCCCTGTCTGTCCCTTTGACCACGCCGCCTCCCACTTCCTCCCTTGCTCACTGGGCTCCACTCACACTGGACTTCCTGACCTGCACAGACACCAAGCTCATTTCTGCTTTAGAACTGGCTGTTCCTTCTACCTAAAGTGCTCAATCCTGTATGTCATTCGAGTCTCAGCCCTAAAGTGCTCAGTCCTATTCGTCATTTGAGTCTCTGGCTGATGCCATTGCCTCTGCGTGGCTTTTCCCTACTGCCCACTCTTCTCTCATCTCACCCTGGCCATCCACCAACACCTCTGAGATAAGTATGCTCTTTGACCTGTATATATTGGGTTGGCAAAAAAAATCCGTGTTGTTTTTTCCGTGAAATAAAAGACAGGTTTTTCATTTTTACCAGTAACTTTATTGATTTGGATATTTTGAATATGTCAGCTATTTCCCGCTTTTGGCTTCTAGTGGGTAGAGGCCAGGGATACTGCTAAACATCTTCCGATGCATAAGACAGCCCCATAGCAAAGAATTATTTGGCCAAAATGTCAATAGTACAAAGAAATTTCACAAACCACTTTTGTTTCTTTTCTTTAGATTTTATTTATTTTTAGAGAGAGGAAGGGAGGCAGAAAGAGAGGGAGCGAGAGAAACCATCAATTGGCTGCCTCTCGCACACCCCCAACTGGGGACCTGGCCAGCAATGCAGACATGTGCCCTGACCAGGTATTGAACCTGCGGCTTTTGGGTTCACAGGCTGGTGCTCAATCCACTAAGCCACATTAGCCAGGGCCACAAACAACTTCTGACATGTTCAATCAGTCACAGCACCTTCTCCATACACTGTACAAATCTTTTTTCGTGTCGTAGTTGCATTTTTACCTTTCTTGAAATAATAAGGCATGATATGCCAAAAATGTATATTTTCTTCCATCTTCATCATTAAAATGGCTGTACAAAAATTCACCAATTTTCATAAGTTTTTTTTAAAATACATGTTGATAGGACAGCTGTCACAATACAATCTAACAAAATTGTTTCAAATGAGATCAAAGACAACTAAGCGCTACTAGAGCCATTTTACGGGGTAAAACAAATGAACTTTTTGGCCAACCCAATAATATGTCCTATAATATCCCAGGACCATGTATGCATCAGATATTCAGTCTGGGAAGGTGAAGGGAGCATTTTTTCCTTTATTTTCTAGGGAGCATTTTTGATAAAGGGTGTATCTATATAAGAGACAAGTTCAGGGACACCCCGGGGATATTAAAAAATTATTTTTGTTTACAAAACAGAAAATATTAACTTTGTAAGCACAGTAAAATGTTCTGGTTCATTTGAAGCAAGTCAGGATGCCTTTTTATTGAGGTATAAATCACATAAAACATTACATTAATTTCAGGTATACGTAATGATTTGATGATTTGTATCTATTGTGAAATGAGAGTAGTTAATATCACCACACACACAATACATTTTTTTTCCTGTGATCACAACTTTAAGATCTACTCTTAGCAACTTTAAAGTATACAGTAAACTATAGTCACCATGCTGTCTGTACATTAGATCCCATGACTTATTTATTTTGTAATTGGAAGTTTGTGCCTTTTGACCCCATCACCCATCTGCCCACACTCTACCCCAGAATGCCTTTTTACACTTGTTGCTGCCACAGAATTAAACATGCAATGTGTAGATCTCAATTTAAAAAATACACTGTAATAGAGGAGACGGAGATACAAACTTGGAGTTGGAAGCCTTGGTTTTCAGCCTCAGTTCCAATCGTTACCAACAAAGCTGCCTCAGGTTAATGATCTCATGGGTGAGTTTTATTCTTATTATCACTATCACTACCAGTATTTCCACCTCACAGGTAAGGTAATTTATACCATTCCCCGTGATCATCGAGAGGTGCAGACCTGATCCTGTCTTTGAAACTGTTCTATCAGCAGCTCTATGGAGTACCCATGAGCCACTGACTCATCCGGCCACAGCAGGCTCCGACTTCCATGGCTCACACTTGCATATGCATCAAGAGCCTTAAAACTTCATACCTGATGGAGCGAGAGTGATGGGATCTGAGGGCCCATCATCCTATTCTTTCTGCTTTTGTATATGCTTGCAATTTTCCATAATAAAGTTTTTATAACCAGTTGGTTCACATTTTTTTTTTTACGTCATTTCATAGAACCATGATTTACCAGGTTTTCCCTTTTTACAACCCTAGTTGACTGACCGGTTTCTCTCTAGAGAGTCAGTCCTACCCACCGAGGCCTCCTCTGGAAAGCAGCAGGAGGGTTCCTTGAAGACGGGATGTTCAGCCCGGAGCCACCTACTTCCTTCTGCTGGTCAGGAGGACGGCCCCTCGTCTCTGACTGGCGGAGGGTCCCCTGCAGCTGCGCTCTCCGACCAGTCTAGGTACAGGCTGGGACAGTTTCCAGTGTGGGCGTTAAAGCATTTGATCCTTATCACTTTTGTTCTAAAAAGTATTACAAGTATAGGCTTTGGGTTGGTTCTCCCTTTGCTCCTTTTGCTGGGCAATTAAAATGCCCTTTTAATCTGAAGACTCCTGTCATTCGGTTTTGGGAGATTTCCTTGTATCATTTCTTGCATAATTCCCTTCCCTCAGTTTTCATTGTTCTCTCCCTCAGAAACTCTTATCAGTCAGGTGTGCTGAACCTCTGGGATTAATCCTCTATATCTCTTATCCTTCTTTCACATGTTGCATTTTCTTTTCTACTTTCTAACAACTGTTTTTGTGTGTTTTACTTTCCGAGATTTCTTCATCGTCATTTTCCGACTTTACTCGTCGATTTTATTTCAGCAATGTTAACTTCCAAGAGCTCTAATTATCCAATTTTTCTTTTTCCACAGCATCCTGTTCTTACTTAGTAACCTTTATAACTCCTTGAATTCTCAGTGAACACTACTAAGAATTTCTTCCAAACTATTTTTTTTAACTTAATGCATATACTTTGTGCACCGTGCGTTCTATTTATATGCCCACGATGTCAGTCGGCATGTCTGATCCTACCCACCCAGGATAAAGGAAACCTGCACCACATGCAAATCAATGACTTTTGATCAATGACTTTTTGGGTAGTAACTACAACAAAGAATGTATCTAAGTCCCCAAGAAGTGAGCCGGCCTACCTTCATGGAGTCAGAGTACAGGATATATTCCCTGACCACAGGCAGAAAGTCTTCGGTCATGTCATCTGTCAGCTCTTCCAAAGCGGTGGAGCAGTTGCCGATGCAGGCTGACACGCCCTCCAGGGGTTCGGCCAGCTCCCCCTCTAACGCGCTCCACGTGGAGTACACGGGCCCGTATTCTCTCAGTTCCACAAGGTACTCTGAACGGGGGAGAAAAACCGCTAAGCTCCAGCTGGGCAGCCATCACTGGCCTTACTGACTCAGTAACTGCGGCGGCCAAGGGCTCTCTGCATTAAGATGTGTTTCCCTGGCCATTCACTCGCCTGAGCATGCTCTCCTTTGCACACAACACTGCTCGGAACAATTTTTAAAATTGATTTTTTTAGAGAGAGAGGAAAGGAGAGAGATAGAAAGAAACAGTGATATGAAAGAGAACATATCTGGATTTGGGGCTAGAACCCACTACCTAGGTATGTGCCCTGAATGGGGATGGAACCCGCAACCTTTTTGGTGTATGGAATGACCACCAGTCAACTGAGCCACCAGGCCAGGGCATAACAATTTTTTTTTAAAAATCTCTAAAAGGTGATGTTACAGTTAGCACCAAAACGTCAACCAACCCCACCCCATGGTGAGAATGCCAAACCTCTGGACAATGGGGACCGCAATACCTTCTGGGGCAAAGTGGGAGGAGCTATATCCACCAAACGCCTTCAAAAATAAACATTCTCCTACCCACAGAGTGAGGCAGTATTTTAACAATGGTAGCAGAGTTTCCTAGAGGTTTAGGAGAACACTTTTTAAAAAAATTTATTGATTTGAGAGAGAGAGAGGAACATCAATTTGCATTCACTGGTTGATTCTTGTATGTGCCCTGACAGGGGATCGAACTCACAACGTTGATGTTATTGGGATTATGCTGTAACTGAAAAAATCAGTCACAATGGAAAAGTGATGGAATTTTAGGAAACATTTGATAGCGGAGATGTGGTCCTGCATAGGCAGATTCACTCTCTCACTCGGGGGTCACCCAAACACCTGGTCCTTAGGCATGGATGGTACCTAAAGCTGTCTACAAAACCTATAAGCCGCACATGGTACCACCAGTGGGTAAAGGAGAATTAAAGCACAGGAAACAAGAAAAAATGTTATTTCCGCCCTCAAAGAAACTCTGGCCTATCATTTGTCACCAGGATTCAGGCCATAGCACTAAAATGCTGTTGCCACTTTTTTATTAACCAATGGGTGGCAATTACTAAAGAATCCTTTTCCATGTGTTTCACGTCACATGCCAGCATGACCATTAACATCGTTCGGGTCTGTCTGGCTCACAAAAGGCCCCAACATTCTGGGAATCAGAAAAGCAAGTGGCCAGGAAAGCAGTGAGGAGGAAGTGGTGGAGGCAACGAGGAAGAACAGAGACAGACAGGCCTCGTAACTGCCCGGGTCACGAGGGGGGGGTCTGAAATGCAACTCCCGTGGGGCAGGCGGGTCCCTTTCAAGCCTGAAGTCTCATTAGGATCATAACTTTGGCAAACACAGGGTCACCATGCTCTCCTTCTGGACTGTCTTTCTGCCAGAAAAGACACCCAAGTTTATTTATTTTTTTAATTATCATACCTAGGCATGAAGGGAAGTTGAGTCAATGTCTCCACCTCTGAAGCTAACGTTAAAGAGAAAAACATGGGAAAGCCTACACGCGGAGACGTGGTTGCCTGAGCTGTGGAAAGTGAACGCGTGACTGAGGTGCAGGGCAGAGGGTGCAGCACGCGTTATTCTTTGATCACAACTCCCTTCTCCCCTCCTTGAGTTTATTTATTAGTTTCATAAGCAAAATATGGCCTCGCTCTGTCCCTCCAGCATTTCTGCAGTTTGGTCCTACTTCGCACACACGACTGCCATTTCTGCAGATGGGGTCCCTGGGCAGGACCAAAATCTCAGTGGAGAGCTCACCTATTTCTTCTTTGATGATCCGCTGCGCTATCCGATCTATGGTTCCCAGTTTGAGTGCAAATGTGTCTAGATATTCGCCTATGGCGGCAAACTCCAGAGGCCGACTCCTCAGCTTGTAGCCTCCGGTGACGTGCTTGACCGACTCACCCACTCTGGTCAGCAGCGCCATCCCTTGCTTCTTGTACACGTTCAGGTCCTGAGGGCAACACGTGAACAAACACACTCAGAGGGCCCAGTCACTCACACAACCAGAACTCAGTAAACCAACAGCTTTGGGCAACTGCCTCCCGGAAGCAGAGGACTCGGAAAACAAAGAGCTGTGCTGGAGGGCCCAGCCACAGACACCGAAGGCTCCCTCGTCGCCAATGCAACCACCGAGCCCACGGCCTTCCTCCCTAATCAGGCCCACTTGCCTGTGCCTGCCCCCCTTTACACGATGCTGTGTCTTCAACGTCATTTTTAAAAACTTTTGACCAAAACCAAAAAGTCTCTTTCTCCCTTGCAAAATATCCTAAGTTGTCTTTAGAACCAAAATTCAAGAGCCTTAATTCATTCCATTCATTTATTTATATTTCAACCAAAGCCAAGTAGGAAAAGTAGAGAGAATAAAGGGTTGGAAGCCAGAAACGGGGACAGGGAAACCAATGCTTGAAACTCAGCGCAGGGGCAGGTGCTGTGAATAACCAACGTTGTATCCTGGGTTTCCTGGTGAAGGCGTAAAGGGGAAATTGGTTGAGCTACATAATGCACTGGATCTAAGTTTACAAAGCACATTAGTCTGCCAGGTGAAATGAGCTTCTTCCTGTCACTAAAGTCTAAGAGGATGTGATGGTATGTATCTTCAGGTTGTTCCACACCCCTAATTTGAACTTCACCAATGGCTTTAAGGAAGATGTAGTGAACTGTTCCCCATATTCACTCTCAATACAAACAGAAGCGTGTGTCTACAGGGAGATAAGGGGACATGACACAAGGGCATTGCTTTCTGGGGACCCAGCCTGACATAGGGACAAATCAGAGAACAGGGAATCACAGTTAACACAGCTGTCGAACGCCCCGCTCTTCCCTATTTGACATACAACAGCTGGCTCAGATCTCCATAGTGTCTGAAGTGTAGATTCCTCTGATTTCACGTCCTCCTCACTTTCCCGTGCAGCCAGGGCCCTCACCTTGGCTCCCGCACCCTTTCCTACCCACCAGGCCCCAGCCAAAGCCCTTCAACCCTCCCCTTCCCGCACCCGCTCTCTCATTTGTGTCTTGTAGCATGTCAACTACATCCCAGGCTCGTCCATCTTAAAAACAGCAGAAGTCACCTCCAGCCCTGCTCCTCCCTTCTCCACCGCTCCCCTCCTTTTCAAAGTCAGGATGCCTGAGAGAATGGTCTAAAGATTCCATTTCCCACATATGTTCTAGACAAAAAAGTATCCTCATAGGCACCAGGCTTTCACAAGACCACACTGAAGCTTTGCAATTCTCAGGATTAATTCCATAGAAAGTATTTTTTGGAGCGGGGCTAGATCCAGAAGGGCTGGTTGGACTGCATAAGCTCTATTTAGAGTAGGTCTTTGAAAAGGTACCCCCAGCCATCCAAGTCAACTAACACGCTGAATGCAGCGCCTCTCTGATGAAAGGTGCGCCCATGCTGCCGCAGATGACGACGCGGATTTGAGCACAGGGATGCTGAGTGACCCCCGCCTCTCCAGCATTCCCGGCTGCTTCTTCAAGGCGCTTCTAGTTCGTGACAAGACTGCCATCACAGGGCGGAGAATGCTCCTGCATTCGCTGTGGCAGAGCATGTGAGTGGGTGATTCAATAACAAGACCAAGTTATTCTCATGGCGTGTTGAAAGAAAAGATTGCAGGGGAGCTGGGGGAAGAAAGAGATGGGGAGAAGGAGGCGTCTGCCCTCCGGTTTCAGTTCAGCCAGATGAAGAAGTTCTGGAGGTTGGCTGCCCAGCAGTGTGACTACACCTAACACTAGTGAACTGTACATTTTGAAAGAGTTAAGATAGTAAATTTTAGGTTATGCGCATTGTGCCATAATTAAAAGGAAAAAGAGAGGAGATGGGGCTATTTAGTTCAGTAAGTAACACTGAATTAGGGCTAGACTTTGTGCTGTTTAAGCAAGCCAACTCCCCTGTCACTCACATGAATTTGGATTTTGATTAGGACACTGAAGGACTATTTTTAATCATTCCATACTGCTTGGCCCACAGATAAATTACACACACACACACACACACACACAATCTTCCTATTTATTCTTCACACAGAGTCCTAATCACCATGGGTCCAACTTCCCCTACCTCCCCCTCTTTTTTCTCTGTGTAATTAAAATGACTAAGCTTGAGGGCCTACCTGGCCAGTAGACCTATAATTTGGGTGAATCAGCGAGTGGCACTTCTGGGACAGCAGGAATGGAGTTTACTTTGAATATACACTGAAAGAACTATATCCAAGGATCAGCTCACCAGGAAATACTTATTTAAAAAATAACGCAAGTTTGACCTGCGGCGGGGTGGGGGAAGGCTTCCCAGAAAGAGAAGGTGAACGGGAATGTCATCGAGGAGGCCAATGCAAACAGAGGTAAAAAAAAAAAAAAAAAAAAATCACTCAAACACTTAAGGACTTTGCCATGTGATTTCCATTGTCTGGAGAATGGCATCCTCTCTACAGGCTTTAGTGTCCACGCTTGGCTGTGAATCTCTCTCATTTTTGCCATTTCAAAAAAGAAGACTGGAAAGTACCTGGATCTCGATACCCTTGCTGACGTGGGAAAAACTACCTATGTCTTGATGGTGGGAACATGATACGTGAAACTAAACAGAAGGAGCTGGAAGGAAGCTGGCGTGGGATCCCATTTCTGCAGACAATCAGAGGAGAGTGCCACAGGTTTCTTGGCCAGTTCTGCCGACTGGGAAGTGCTGAGAGCAGCCGGCGAATCACCTAGTGGAGTCTGAATCAATAGAATCTGGCAACTGGGTGGAGCCCAAATACTTCTCTGGCAGAGGCCTGGAAAATGTCCCCCCCCATTAGAAACTTGGCTGTGGCCAGCTGATGCTGAACTGCTCGTGGTAGGCAGCCTGTTTCCGAGACAAGATGGGGCCTCCCGGGCCACAAAGACCCAATTTCAAATCCCAGTGATGCCACTTGAACATGTGCAACTCCCTGAATGTCGCTTTCCTCATCTGCACAGGGCTCTTGTGAAGGACACCCTCACCAAGTGCTCAGCGGGTGTTCTCGCCCTTGTGTGGCCGCCATGGGTCAGGACAGCCTCCCTCGGTGATGTGCCAAGAAGCGCTTAAAGAAACACGTACCCCTGCTTCTGGAAAGTGAAAATGTTCGAACTTCCTCTGCTGCTGCGAGGCTGTGTTTTCTCCGAAATTCGAACATAGTAGCCACGCTAATGCAAAAAGGCACTGAAAACATACAGCAGTTCAATGACAGTCACTACAGTGGGCCATTCACGAAGGTGGCTCGTGAGAAAGGAAGACAACATTTAACACAGAGCCTGGAGAATGCTGCTTTGGGGGAAGGAATACAAAAAATCCTGCTCTTACCTTAGCAGTAAGGAAAACATTAAAGTGTTCATTGAAAGATAGTACAGGATGATCCGTAATCCTTTTCAGGAATTTATCCAAAGCTTTTCTCCTGGTCTCTACAAACTCTTCTGAAAAACGATCCACAACACCTTTCACCACAAACTTCTCAGGAAGCGGCTGTGAAGACAAGAAGAAAAATATTCAGAGCAATTGATAAAATGGTACAAAGACAAACCACCAGGCTAGCAAATCATTCCTATGACGCATCTGTCCAAGAACAGCATTTCTCAATCAGTTTCATCTTTATGTTGCTAGTCATCAATATAAATCGATTTGAAAAATATAGATGGGATAAATCAAGACTACCTTGTCGATTTTATAATGCAAGAAATAAAACACCAGAGCATAGTTCCTGGAATATTGAAAATGGCCAGTCAGTGTTTACCCAGTAAATCCAATAGTCAGTTACCTTTACATTGCTTGATGCACAGGTGATAAAAGGAAAAAGTTAGGACAAGATAAAGTAGTCTAAGGGAAGAAGGCAGACAACATCAACCACATAAAAATGTATTTAAATATAATAAGATTCTACTACCAGTTCAAGGGGTAAAAAAAACTTGGATGAAGAAATAAGTGTATGAGGCAAAACCCATGCTATCTAAAAAATATCTTTCCTCCATCTGTTTTGTTTGTTTAGGTTTATACTCACAAGTTCTTAAGAAAGTAACTTCCTTTACTTTCCTTACACAAACAAATTTCTGTATATTTCCTTTGAGCCAATATTGCGGGCAATTTCAAACTACCTGGCATCTGTAGGGTGTCTGAGTTTTACCCTATTTCTGTAGTAACTTGATCAAGTGCTTGATTAAAAGGCCTTCCACATTACTGCCATCACAGGGAAAGAGAGTATTTGCTAATGTACAATTTGAAGTGTACAAATTATGAAACATTAAAAGAGCATTTACATTTAAAAATAGGCAAATGATCAGGTTGATATTTCTCCAAGCAAGATAAACAAAAGGCCTAATAAGCACATGAGAAGATGATCAACATCATTAGTCACTAAGGAAATACAAACCAAAACCACAATAAGATAACTCCTTCATACCCACTAGGATGGCCATAATTTTAAAAAGAAAGAAGGAAAGGAAAAAAAAGTGTTTGCAAAGATTGTGAAAAAACCTGGAACCAGCATTTAAGTTCAGAACCTCCTCAAACTCCATAATACAGAGATGTTTTTCTTTTAAGTTACAACAACAAAAAAAGCCATAGAAAACAACACCGACAGAAATAAGATATGGCAACAAGGACTTAGCCAACCCCTCAAAGTGGAATACTAAGGCACTCAGAGTGGGAAAGCCGAGAAGCAACCCAGACTGATAACAGGAAATCTTTGAAAGACTTAGGAACGGGCAGCACCCGCCCCCCTGGAAATGAAGTACTTGGGGTGGGTGGGAATTCCACAGCTTCAGCTTGAAAAAGCTTTGCAAAGTCAGTATGTTTTCGTTGTCGCGAATAAAGACTATGGCGCCATGCCTGCTGGGATCATCTTTGTCCTCTGCCAAACCGTTTGACTTTGGTCAAGCTCTATACTCTCTCGGTACCTCAGTTTCTCATCTGTAAAAAACGGTTAACAGCACCAACCTCATGAGGATTCAATTACCTCTGAGGGTGACCGTGCTTCCAACAATTCCCGCCACTGAGTAGACACTTGACAGAAGTTGGTGTGTTTTGGGCTGTAGGAGTGGCGGCCAACTTCAGGGGACTACTAATCTTCAGGGACAGCCAAGGTTTAGTTAAATCTTGAGGTAGTGGGAGTGTTCAGAGAAGAGGTGAAGAATTAAGAGACTTCTTTTTAACAGAGATGGAGTTCTAGGGTGCACAGTGGAAAGGTTTAGTAATAAAGAGAGAGAGGGAATAAGAGTCAGGAATAAAATGACAGAGCTCCGTGGTGACAGCATGTCCAAGTCAGACAGCACGGTCCGACAGTGGCCAGTAGAGCCCATGCTTGCCCAGAACATTAGAAATGCATGACTGGGTCAGATGTAGAGGCCCCCAGCCCAGGGTTCCGGCAGCAGAGAAGCTGCCTTAATAGGCTATGGTTGTCCCTTAGGATAATTCCTTTGTTCTGATCTATCCTTCTTCCATTCCCTTAGACAGCCACCCTCGTGAAACCCTACACTCAACTGCCAACCTTTCATGCCAAGCAGATTACCATCTCTCTGAAGGAGGAACCAGGTGTAAGGGCACCATGTGGAAATTACCCAACCGCTTTGCTTCCTCCACAGAAACCCATCTACTGAGCACCGCCCTCGCTGCCATTCCTCAGGTCCCTTTGGACAACATACTCCTCAAAGCTCACGATTCCATCTGTGTCCTCACCCATTAGTTCACTAAGATGCAGTTGTCATCATCAATTAATTATACCTTCTCTTCAGTATCTTCAACATCTCTTCCTCATCTGGTTCTACTCCCTGTGTCTACAAAAATAGGGCTAATTCTCTCTCTTTTTTTTTTAATCCTCACCTGAGGACATTTTTTTCATTGTTTTTAGAAACAGAGGAAGGGAGAGAGAACATTGATGTGAGAGAGAGCATTGATTGGTTGCCTCCCATACGCACCCAGACTGGCTATTGTACAGGATCAGACTGGGGATCAAACCTGAAACCTAGGTATGTACCCTGACCGGGAAGGAAACTTGCAACCTTTCAGTTACAGGATGACGCTCCAACCGAGCCACATCAGCCAGGGCTAGTTCTCTCTCTCTCTCCACCTGAAAAAAGAACATATAACTATCCCTTGACCTTACATCCTCTTTACTCATTCAACCCCTTCCTGCCTTATTCAACCTTTTTGAAAAAAATCTTTTATCTTTATCTCCATTTTTTCCATTGATTTCTCGACCCCCAATCTTCCTCCACCCCAGAACAAAGCTGTCCTTGGTACTTCCTTCAGTGCTGCATCTCTCTGCCATCTGTCCGCCCAAGTGCAGAAACTATCCTTTGAAAGGTGAGCAGCGACTTTCTAATGACCAAATCCAGTGGATACCTCTCTGTTTTTACCTCATCAGTCCTGTTGAGCATACTCTCATTTGCTTATGCTAAATAGGACTCAGGAGGAAGGCCTAATGAGCAAATAAGTGGTTAGGTATGCCTCATTTAACATAACAGATAACCTCCTGAAATAGTTACCCATTCTTCAGATATAGTGCATTAAACCTTATGTTTAATGAATCAGGGAAGCTTGCTATTTAAAGGCACCCTGGGGTGAACTCTCCTGCAAACAGAAGTTCCTTCTCTAACAAGCAGTATCATTCCCAATGTACAGACTTCAGAAATTGGTTTTTCCTATTTCAAGCTTCCGTAAAGGGACACACCTACTCTCAGTCTCACCTTTATCACTACCTTCTTGGTTGTTTATGCACAGGAATCTGGGTTGCTAGTGAAATCAAGGGCATCTATACTCTGTAAGTGAGGCCAATTAATGTAAGTGAAGAGCAGCTTCCAGCCCATGGTGGACATCAAATGGATGCTAGCTATTTTTATTAATTTGTAAACACTGAAAACAGAAAGCCAAAAACAAAAAAAAAAAAAGTGAACTAAAGGGTGGAACTTCCATACATCTTTTGCCATTTCACACCACGAGGATGGCTATAAAAAAAAATGAAAGGAGCTGGTATGGCTCAGCGCACTGAGCACCGGCCTGTGAACCACAGGGTTGCCAGTTCGATTCCCTGTGTAGGGCACATGCTTGGGTTGCAGGCCAGGTCCCCAGTAGGGGGCGTGTGAGATGCAGCCACACATTGATGTTTCTCTTCCTTTCTCCCAACCCTTCTCTTTAAAAAAAAAAGAAAGAAAGGAGAATAACAAGTGTTGGAGAATCTGGAATCCTCACACATTGTTGAGACTGTAAAAATGGTTCAGCTACTGTGTGAAAGTTTGGTGAATCCTTAAAGAATGAAACATGATCCAGCAATTTCATTCCTTGGTATATAGTCAAGATAAGTGAAAGCAATGTTCAAACGAAAACCTGTACAATAAATGTTCAAGAAGCATTATTTATAATAGTTGGGCTGGGGAAGGGGAATGGGAGGTGATTGCTTAACGGGTATGGGGTTTCTTTGGGGGATGATGGAAATGTTCTGGAATTAGATTAGCAGCGGCAACTACAAAACACTGTAGAGACCATCCAGTCGGCATCCCTTCCTGCCCCTTCCCCTTCCTCCCTACCCTATCCCTGAAATTATATATATATATATATATATATAATTATATATAAAAATATATATATAATGAATGTATTCAAAGCCACTGAATTATGTACTTCATTGTACACATTTAAATGGAGACTTTTATCACGGTAATAATAATAAAAAAAGACATGATGATGGACACTGTCAGGGAAGACAGAAGCTGCTCTGCTGCTGGTTCGGAAGACAGAAGAAGGGCCATGACCGAGGCGTGCAGGCAGCTCAGACGCTGGGAAAGCCGAAGGCCGAGTCCGGCCCCGGAGCCTCCAGAGGACACGCCGCCCTGCCTGCACCGCGGCACGAACCCACTGAGACCGCTTTCGGACTTCTGACTTCAGAACTGGAAGATAAGACATTTCTGTTGCTTAAGTCGCTTTTTAAAAACAGGTCAGCTGGCATGGGAAGGAGGGCGTCGGTAGGAGAGAGATGAAACAAAATTGGCTACAGTTGATAAATGTTGAAACTGGGCAATGAATACATGAGGGTTCATTGCACTGAATCTCTCTCCTTTAGTGTTATTTGACATTTTCCATAATAAAAAAGTTTTTTTAAAAGATATATATGCATATACAGGGGCGGGCAAAAGTAGGTTTACAGTTGTAATACAAATAAGTAACAATAAATAATAACACGTACAAGAATAAACTCTGTGTTTCATACACTCACAACTAAACCTACATTTGCCCACCCTTGTATATATTGGGACCTACCAAAAATCCTATTTGCAAAACATTACAATAACCCATTAAATATTTCAAGTTTTAATCTTAAAATATTTATATTTTTATAGCTCTTGATACTTTGGTAAAACACTTTCTCATGTATTGCACGCTAATTTATGAGAAAGTACTTTACAGTCTGTGAAACAAAAGCATGTTTCCTATAAATTGTCACTGAAAAGCTGCTATTTGTGGGTGGGAGATCTGGA